GGGTTTTTACTCTGATTGTGAGTGAGGAAGATTGTGAGCAGGTCAATTTTCAATAAACCATACTTTATTAAAGCTGATCTTACAATTCATAATTTTTTAATCAGTAAATTTTAAATAAAGAAAAAACCAAAACTCTTAGGTTCTTTTCAAATTTTATTATTTATTCTTAAAGTTAATCTACATTGTTAAGTCCATTGATACTTTTTTTAAGGATTAATGCCATTTCTGATTGCCTCTCTCTTGGAAAATTGTAGAAAAACCAGCAAATATGTTGCGGACAAACTAATGATCTGAAACAATGATATATTTTTTTAACTATTTTGCACTTGAAAATTTGTTTCGTTTCCAACCCTGGCGTAAAATCTCAACGAAACCGTGAAATATCCGAGCCCAGTTATTTCCTCGACTTTTGCTCCGCAACATCGCGCCATCAAAACCATCAGGGTACTCCTGGCAGTTCCCTCTTGAAAAGCACCAGACACCACTTGATTGACATTGAACACCGCTCGACTCAATTCTTCATTCTATTCACAGACGCAAAAATATTATGAAAGGAACTTATCGAGAAAATTAGTCACCTTCGTTATGACCTGTTGTCCCCAGTAGGCGTAAAAGAAAAATTGAATTGCTGTAACAATTAAGAAGGAAATAACCGTAGCAATAAGACCTTCTTGATCATCCTGTGAAGAAAAAATTTCAAATAATAATAATTTATTTTTTTCTTTTAAATTACTGATATTCGGTCTGACCTTAATAACTAGATATAAGTAGCCCATAATGTTCACCGCTGCTAGTGCGTGTGTAATCAAAATAATCGGTCCCATAACTTCATTCACCATTTTCAGGAGTCTGTTAAAAAATGTTAGATAAATTATTTAAAATTAAAATATAAGATTTATGCGATTTTTACTTTTTGTAGTGCTGGTGACACTGAATCCAATCCGTGAAAATTGGAGTTAAGCTTCCTTTGTCGCCAGGTATGAGGGCGATCGGAGCCATTTTTACTAGAAAATCGCCCCTTTCTGCAAGGGCCACTATCGTGCTGCAGGTGAAGGCGTCCGAAGTGCAGAAAATCAATATGTAAATAAGCACCATTGCACCTATTAAATTGAAACAACACTAATTATTTCAGTTAATCAAATTGAAATTTATGTTTACAATTGTAAAGGTATAGAAAGTAGAAGGTTGGAGTTTTGAATGGGTCCGTGAACCACCAGAAGTCATAGAGATAGACAGGGGTGCTCTCTTGAGCGCAGAAGTCGAGGTTCAGCTGACGCTTGTCTTCACAATATGCCACTTTTATTGTCCTGGTGAAAATAATTACATGCAAGAATCGCAAGAATCAATCTTTGCAATCTTTAATCTTTATTAATAAATGTTGAGAAATTTTTCTGTACTTTTTAAACACTATAATTTGTTCATCCACAATAATGGAAATGAAAAAAAAAATAAAAATTTTTCATTTTTGCTGCAGCTATATTATGATATTTTTTTTTAAACCTTATAATTGGTCCAACTAAAGTAACAATGCAGAGAAGAGCGTTGTAGAAGTAAAATAAGCTGGAAATTTTTATAATTTTCTTCCTGGAGGCAAATTTCATTTCCTTCTCCTTCTTTCTGAACTCTTCACTTTTGAAATTCGGAGATACTTAAAATTATAAAATTAATTTTGCGTAAAAATGAAAATAAATTTGCTCACTCTCAAAATCGGCAATGAGCTGCTCCACCTGTTTCTTTTTGTAAATCATATGAGCCGGTCTAAAAGTTGTTTGTAAACCGTTGGCTAGCAGAATGATGGTGACTAGTGTCCTCCGAACTTGGTACGGTTTTAGCAAAAATTCCAAAACGGCCAAAATGTGTATGCATATGTTTGGGATGTGGTAGGACAAACACCAAATTATGCGTTTCAAGCTGGGCTTCCTTCTGTTCGGCAGAATAAATCCAGCAAGTGACAGGCCCTAAAATCCGCAATTTAAAAAGACATACAAGTTCAGTGTGAAAAACTTACCCAGCCGTGAAATCTTAGCTCACTATACTGCGTATCATGGATGTGTGGCATATTTTTTTAGTAAACTTAAAAAATTATAGAATAAAGGAATCCATCAACATACAAGCTTCGTTGGGAAGTGTTGAATAAATGGGAGAAATAGAGTAAAATAGGGAAATTATAGTTTTGTTTGGGGTCGCGGTCACCACTGCACGCAAGACCATTCAGTGTTTCCGGTTGCCTAATCACAAGTATCTGTGTTAGATATTCTTCGTTAATTATTTCTCGAAAAGGAAAACTTCCAGTAATTTACTCGAGTTTATTGATTTGTCAACGGGCAAGAAAACGATAGTAAATTTACATTTGATAAAATATCTGCATTTTATTCAACCACCAAATTAATAAGAAAAACTAAATAAAAAAAAATGAAATTAATACTAGAATCACCATAATTATCATCCTATATGTGAGCTAATTGACATAGAAAAATAAAATTTAATAAAGATTTAGCGGTTATATGAAAAAAATTAAATTCTTGATTTTCACCAAGAATCCAAATTTCAATATTGACTCGGTTTGGCCAGCGCGTTCGATTTAAGTTCTTTAATGCACCAGTATTAAAATATTTGAATTATCATTTCTGGGGAAAAAATTATTTTCGTGTTTATAAATCACATGTCAAAAATGCTTGCTCTCAGGATATGAAAAATCAAATTACCGTAAACATGTAAAAATTTAATCTAACAAATTATTTCAGTAATTATTTAAATTTGCACAGTCGCCTGAGGTATCCAATCATAGAGCTCAAGCAACAATCAAAATATCTTTCATTGTTGTGATGCGCGACTTAGTCGACCCCAATCACGCAGTTTATATACCGCTTTTGGAGTTTCAGTTGTTGCCAGAAGGCCAGCCCAGTGGGTTGAGAACGCGCGCCCGGTAACTGGGCGGGCAGTCCTGCACTAGCCCGCGAGTCACTACCGGGGCGGGGTTCGAAACCGGACTGGGCTGCCCTTTTTCACATCCTTTTTTACGTCAAATTCAATTCGAAATCAAGTTTTTTATTGAAAACTATTGCATATTTCTATAAAAAAAATTTAAAAATTGCAAAATATAGTTATTAAAATTTTTTGGAACACGCCGCTTTAGCAGGTCTGGATCGTCAAAGGAACGTATCCTCAAGCACGATAATTATAATACTTTTTATCTTTTTTCATTTTTCCAAATGGTCGCAAAAATTTTACGTCGAATGAGATAAAATTGTTGGGAGAGAAACATTGCATTATTTGACAAATAAATGCAACATTGGGATTCGGAGCGGTGTTGATTTGAAACAAAACCTTCCGTGCTTCCTGACATCCTGTCGTCTTTGTCAGGTCGGGAGTCTCCAAATCGCAAAAGAACTAGGCATTTTCGACATCCTCATGAAACGAGGATTCTACCGGTGTGCCGTTTGTCGCTCAAAACGTTCGCGTTCTTTTCAAGCTTGGAGATGAATACGACCTAGAATTTTTTTTCTTTTAAATTTGTCCTTTTTCAAATGCAAATTATTAAATTATTCCCATGATTCTAAATTGACACGCAATAAAAATGCACACCGTTGGAAAGCTCGATTTTTCTTTATTGAGAATCCTGAATCTCGCACCATTCCCCGTTGACTTTGCTCGATCTCTTTCTGGCCAACATTCACCCCTCCACCGGCCCTTTTCGAGTCAATTTTTATTGTTAAATGATTTCAATTTAGTTGACCATCGTCACCACGCATCACGTCAGGCAAGAAAATATAATGGATAAAAATTTTGGAAAATAATATTTCAAGAGTCGCTAAATTATTTTAATGTAGTAATTAATTTGCACTGACACCCGAGATACCCAATCGCAGAGCTCAAGCAACAATCAAAATATCTTTCATTGTTTCATTGTTGTGATGCGCGACTTAGTCGACCCCAAGCACGCAGTTTATATACCGCTTTTGGAGTTTCAGTTGTTGCCAGAAGGCCAGCCCAGTGGGTTGAGAACGCGCGCCCGGTATCTGGGCGGGCAGTCCTGCACTAGCCCGCGAGTCACTACCGGGGCGGGGTTCGAAACCGGACTGGGCTGCCCTTTTTCACATCCTTTTTAACGTCCAATTCAATTCTAAATCACGTTTTTATTGAAAACTATTGCATATTTCTATAAAAAATTAAATATTGAAAAATATCGTTATTAAAAAAATTTTTGAACACGCGCCGCTTTTGCAGGACTGGATCGTCAAAGGAGCGTATCCTCACACACAAAACTCGGTGCCTATTAGACCCAGCCGATCTGGGTCTCTGGGTCTATCTGCCGCACTTTGCCTATCAGGCAAACTGGGGCAATCAGACCCACCTCGGGCTCGGCCGCTTCGTTCTGGTCACTACACCTGCCGCATTTTGCCAAATGGGCAAAGCGAGGCAATTAGACCCATCTTGAGCTCCGCCGCTTTGTTATTGTCACGTGAACGTCTCTGCCCTGCGGAAAATGATGTAATATTTAAATTGGATGAAAAATTATTATTTATAATAATTTACATGTTAATCTTTTGGCGAATAATTTAATTTATTTTGTGATAGTAAAAAGGAGAGTACAAAATTATATTATTAAATGATTTTTAATTATGATTTATAATAATTATAAATTTATTTATCACACATCCATTTCGTAAAAGTAGAATAAATTTCCCCCTTCAGTATCATGAGATCGGGGCCTCACGGATAAAAAATGCTTAATTTTAGTTTGCTGGTACATTCAGTCACAAGATTATCCAAGCTTTTTATTATTTGTCTCTAAATTTTTTTGTTAGTGTATCTTTTATAAAAAATTAAATCTTCACAAAAATATATTTTTACAATCAGATTTTTTCAAGATGTATTAATTTTGCCGTGATACTTATTACTTGAAAATAATTTAATGATTCTAAATTTGGATCAATTTAAAATTTTAAAAAAAAACTTTTATTTAACTTTCAAATTTTTATTTTTCAAACTAGCAAGAATTTTTCTGTAATTACAAGATCAAAAGGACCGCAGTGAATTAATAAAACACAAATAAGCTGCAGAGAAACTTATATATTTTAATGTACAAAGCAAAATCATTGTTAAAACATTATAATTTAAAAAATTATAAAGCTTTTTTTATTTAGAGCCTCAATTCTGGTTGAAATCGTTTAATTTTTTCTATTAATTCCTTTTAAAGTTGCAACATAATCAATAAGTAGCTCATCGACAAACTGCAAATCTGAAAATGTATCTAAATTATTTTTTAAACAGTCTAATAAAATTAAAAAATACTCTGGCATAAAATCGCAAGGAAACAGTGAAGAAGCCTAATCCTGTGATTTCCGTAGTTTGGCTTCCACAGCACTTTGCCATGATGATCAGTAGAGAATTTCGAACTGGCCCTTCGTGGTAGGCGTTTTCTGAAACCTGATTCGCCGTCAGAGTCGCTCTGCTCAGCCTTTCACCCTTTGAAAATCAAAATTAATTGCTGCAATTATCTTAAACTGTGCAAAACTCTTACATTGTTAATAACTTGCTGACCCCAATATGCGTACATGAAAAACTGAATGGCCGTCACAAACAAAAAGGAAGCCGCCAACTCACGAATTTCTTGCTCCTTGTCCTAAAATATTTATAGCTTCTTATGCTATCCAAATAAAGTTGAATATATTCACCCTAATTATGAGATAAACATACACCATGATATTCCCAGCCGCAAAAAGGTGCGTGACGAGGATAACAGGACCCATGACCTCATTGACTGACCTCAAAAGTCTGAAAATTGACATCATTCAATGAAGTCTCCAAAACTTTGTTAGAGGCGATTAGAGGTAAAGTTACTTTTCATAGTGCTGGTGATACTTGACCCAAGATTCAAAAGATTTGGTTGTTTTCGATCCGTCTTTGGGAACTAAAGCAGTTGGTGCCATTTTTACCAAAAAATTGGACCTTTCCACAAGGGCGACCATGGTGCTGCATGTGAAGGCGTCAGATGTGCAGAAAATGATGAGATAGACACCAATCATATAAACTGCAAAATTAATTTTTGGGTCATTTCAATGCTACCTTTTCAGATTTTGTATGAATTTTTATCCGCTTCCCCGCCAAATTCAGATTTATTTAGCTCTGTTCATATGCTCTTTTTTCAATAACTATATAATTTTTTTTATAATAAGCAATCAAAACCGCCAATTCGATTTAGATTTATTTTTAAATAAATTATGAAGTTCTGTGGGCTTAAATTTGTAATTGATTGAACTGAAGGACATGTAAGCGGCGAGGTGTGATAATAATTGATTGTGCTTTGTGCTATTTGATTAAAAATCCCATTTTGGCGTGATGCGTTCTTTAAGACAAAATTATAAAGCAAAAAATTACGATTGACAGAAAAAAGGTAATAATAAGTTGGCGTCTGGAATTGATCCGTGAACCAATAATAGTCAACGATGAATAGCGGGGTGCTGTCGCGGGCGCAAAAACTGAGGTTCAATTCTCGTTTGTCCTGGCAGTACATTACTTTAACCATCCTAAACAGATGAGAGAAAATTAATGAAATTAGGCAACCTGCGTGACTTCTATGTCGAGCGGGTTGTATGTAAATGCAAAATCAGGGGCCATTCACAAATCATAATTATAATTATATAATAAAAGATAAAAAAAATGACTATTTTCAATTGAATAATTATTTTGTATACCTGATGATGCCCGGCAAGACAGTTCTAAGGCAAAGGATCGAGTTGTAAAAGTATAAAATGGCGCTGAATTTGAGGATCTTTTTCTCTGATTGAATTCGCATCTCCCGCTCTGCTGCATTAAACTTAGCGCATTCGCCCTCAGGTAACACTAAATTCAAGTATCAATTGCATTTCAATCATTAATTAACATCAATCTTAAATTACCTTGAAAGTCTGCCAGCAAACTCTCCGCTTGTTTCTTGTAGATCAGCAAATGGATGGGGCGGAAAAGAGTCTGGAAATTATTGTTGACCACAAAAATGGTGAACAGGGTCCGTCGCAGCTCATACGGTTTGACAATGAACTCGACGATACACAGAATGTTGTAGAGAAAGAAGGGAACCAAAATGAAAAGAAACCAACCGATTTGAGATTTGGTTGGATGTTTCGAATTGGGTAGAATGAATCCGGCCACTCCAAGGCTCTAAGATATTTTGGAAATAATTATTAAAGTATAATTTTAAAGTGAAAACTGACCTTAAAGTGAAAAGAAAATTCATTCCCTGTCTTGTATAACGCTTGCCACATTTTGTCAGTGGCAGTCTCTGATGGAAGTTAAGTTGATACTAATGAGAAATAGGATAGCATGCCCTTGGCAAATATAAAGTTCCGAGGAAAGCTTCTCTGATAAATAATTAACGCTCCCGGCCCATGACATTTAGATCATTTAGATAGACTATAAATCAAAATGTTGATATCTGATTACATCAAAATTTTTATTACATACAATTTCTCAAATTCATTGGATTAAATAAATAAAATTCTTCTGTTGAATAAGTGCAACAAACACGTTGTTACGAGCACCACCGAGAATAAAGGTCCAACTTTTAAAGCACCGTTGCAAAAGTCTGTATCACAGCAGAACGTCTCTGTACGCTTTTCATACTCATCTTGCTCTGAAAATTTACGAATTTATTAACATATATTCAAATAGACTACTTTTTTACACATTAAAATAAATTAAATATAAAGAAAAACAATTAACGGGAGGAAATCATTGAATTTTTGGGAAAATAAATTAAATTTTCTCTGAACATACCCCAAGGGGATCTTTTCTGGGCGTTCCCCATTACGTCCTTGAGCTGTCGAATGAGACGGCGACCCCAGTTCTCGGACACCCCGTAGCCACAGGCGTCAAGCGTACCACACACTCGCTCTACCCTCCTTCGTTCCGAGTGGACTTTCTAAAATAGAAGTAATTTTCTCAAAATATTGGAGAAAAAATCATGTTTTTTTTGGAGTCATTTTTAATTTTTGTAAAACTTAAATTACAAGAAATGGAATTTAAAAATAAAATTTTACCATGCAAACATCAAATCCTGGTCTGCAGAGATTTGGATCGCCCATGTCCGCTTCTTTGCAGTTGCCTTCGCAGTGAAAACATTTTAAAGCAGTGACGCCGCTCAACGCAAGAAGGAGCAAAACAATGCTGAGAAAAAGCGCACAAAAGTCGTGTCCAATCATCATCTAGAAAAATGACATTTTAACGTCGGGAGAAAGTAATTTTAGTAAAATTGTTAGGTATTTAAGAAACAAAATTATGTAAAATATGGAAAAATATTTGGATTGGTTTATGCTTTCCATTTTGAAAATAGAAATTTAAATTTTAGTACAAAAAAATACTTGAAATTTCCAAAACTTCATGGTATTTTCAATGTCTAGAAACGAAATAAATCCTCGTTTTCCTGGTAATTTAATTTTATTCAAACCATCTATTTTGTTAAATAGTCAATGATTTTAAAAATATATCTGTGCAAATAAATAGCAAAATGATGCTAGGTATTTCAAAATTGATTAATATTTTCTTAATAGTTTTTACTGTTTTTTATAAAATAAAGTATTTCTTGGTCACGGTTTTCGTTTCATAGTCTCATGATCTTGTGTTTATTGCTACATAGTACAGGCAACTATCTTATTTCCATCTCATGATATTATCGATATTATTAAAAAATAATCTGTGAAATTGAATTTACTGTATCATTCTTCTTATTGTTAGATTTGAGTCATGAATTAATTTTCGTTTAATTTCAACTGATTTAAACAAAACAATATTTATTTGCTAAAAAAATATATTTTTAAAGTAGTCAATCAATAAGCAAAACAATGCGGAATATTTCAAAATAAAACTCACTTTTTTCCTGATATAAACGTCAATCCGCGTCGTCTTGCCGATCACTTTATAGGCTCTTTCATTGCCGCAGTAGAACTCGTCGTTTTTCGACGCAAAATCACAGTCAAAAATTAATAAATCTGGTGCGTTCAGCACCAATAAATGCCGTAAGCCAATTTGAAGCGCCAATAACAATGCTCACGGACTTTCTCCCTCGGCCGAACTGCAGCGAAAACCAAAGGGGCGCACTTTCGAGGATTCACCCTCCATCAAATATCACACAAAGAAAAACGCTCTCTTTGCCAAATCTCTCGGCGGCACATGCTCAAATTATACGCTGACTTATTTGCCAAAGGAGTTTCGACCGCGACTGGCAGCAGCAGGAAGAAGAAGAAGAAAGGGATTTCAAAAGCCGCGACGCTTGGGTGGCCACGCGAAAATTTAAACGGGGAGAAGGAGTCAATTATTTTTCTAATGGGTGCGCACCCGCAACTCAAATATATGTGCCGGATATAGGTCTCTCAGATTTCTCTAAATATTATGGGTTACCTAATTTTTGGTACATATTTTATAAAAATATTTTACAAGTGTCCAAAGAAGCAATTTTACAATATTGTGAAAAATTTGTAACAATATTTTATCCTCATTTTTTTAAAAATTATTTTTACAGTCATAAATTAAATATTTAATATTTTTTTATGTGAATTAAATGACACATTTGAAGATTTTTATATTTTGCTGATTTTCCTCTTCTTAATTTTATTATGAAACTTAGCATATCAATAGCACCGGAAATTACACCGAAAGTCATTGTCTCCAAATAGACTGCTGATTTTGCTCCACGCCCTGTTCATTTTTCACTCTTCCTTGCGTAAAGCCTTGTATGGAGCGAATTAGGATTTGCCCAGATGTGTGACGAAGCGTGCCACTGCACGGTCGGAGGAGAACGAAACGTGAAGAGAGTAAAAACTGTAAACGTAATTAAAAAAAATCTTTATCACCAATAAAAAAAGAAAAATAAACAGCGAGGGACCATGAGAGAAAGTTGCCTGTAAATTATTCCGACCTAAAATTTATAACCTGACCTTTATATTAAAATAAATTAATGGTGTGTATTTGAAAAAGGTTTTTTTTTATTATCAAAAGTTTAAAATTTATTGATATTCAAAGATATTTATTTATATCATTGAGTTATTTCAATACTAGAATGTCATTGTGAAATAGCTATCCAAAATATGTTTGTAATTAGATAAGCAAATTTTCTTTCCATCACCATGGAAAGATTTTTCAAATTATTTGGATGACTGGGCTGTCAGACGCAGAAGAGCGACCATCATGGACGGGTCTGTCAGATATGCAGGTTAGGGTGAAAAATGAAATAAATCACTTTCAACTAAGAACTAAAGCATAATTTATGTTTAATTTAATACAATTGAGCAGATTTTTGGATTTAATGTTTTTGTAGCTGCCGCGAATTTAAATCACCTGAGCAAGGATGACGCTGAGCTGGTGTGGCTGGTGCTGACAATCGCAGTTCTGACGACCTGGACCCTGATGGTGCTCTCGTGGGTGCGACACGTCGTAACTTCGCGCACCACCTCTAGCAGACCCGTCCTGCGGATGCGAACCGCCGGCCTCTCCAGGCTGGACACGGCCCGCGCCCGTCGAGTGCACAAAACCTGCTTGCCCTGCGCCTCCGTCCGACACGGGGTCCACAGCTCATGCGGGTGCGTCCCGCCTGTTGTGGTGAACGGCCGAGCCGATTTCTTCGTCACTTATAATTGCGCTTCGTTCAAAGCTGTGAGTTTTGGTAGTTTATTTTTATAAAAATACTTAAAATTACAAATAAAATCAATATTTTAAACCAAACCTATTTAGAGATTATTGCGATTCAAATTTTTGTTATTAAGAATTATGTTTTATTTTTATTGGAAAAAAATTATTTTGTTTTCAGACCACAAAAACGTCAACGCCAAAAGAGCGAGTGATTTGCAGGCATGAGAGGAAACACACCAATGTGCACAATTCGACATTGGCAAGCAAAAAATCATGTGACGGTGTCGGATTTGCTCAAGGTGGAAATCAGAGTTGCGTTGAAACCAAAAGTACTCCAGAGAGCGTGAAATATTCCTCATACGAAGACGTGTCACTTTCGGAAATTGCTGAACTATCGTAGAAAAATCATAGAAAAAATTTGAAATGAAAAGAAACCCGTGACAACAACGTATTTACCATACGGAAGAGTTAAATCCACTATTCTTTTAATCGTGAATAAAAATTGAAGAATATCCAAATGGAAAAATTTTGAAAATTTTATTTGCAAAAATCCATATAAATTAAAGTTCATTTCTTAAGCTCACCAGGAGTTATTTTTTAGTTTAGCCTTTTAATATAGAATCACTTTTTAATAGTTTTCAATCGGAAATACTTTTGATAACTAGAGTTTCTTCGAATCAAGTACAAGAAAATACTGCTTTGGCACAATTCATCATATGAAACTTTTCAACATTAGTTACAAAATTTAGGCAAAGCCTGTTGCTTTTCAACTTTGAGAACCCTCGACACAATTCTGGTGAGCAGAGCAGGCATTTTGTCTGCATCAATGTGCTCAGCCCACAATGTAGACAACAGTTCTTGGACAGCTTTGCTACTCAGGTCATCGACCTCCAAGGTCATGGTCACCATGGTAAGGTTGGCCAGTGGGGATTCACGGTCGCAAATCACGTGAAGGGCAAGTGCGAGACGGCCTGGCAGTCTGTGGAGGTCTTTCACGATGACACTGTTTTCTTTGGTCAAATAGGTTTGCAGTTGTTCGATCAAGTTGCCGTACTCTTGAAGGTGCTTCAAATTGGACGTTTTGACGTAAACAGGATCAGAATGCACAAGACCAGTCAGTTTGCCTGCCAGACAGTGCGCTGTAAAAATTAATACCTTTAAAAATAAATTGTTGTCACCAGAATTAAATTAAAACAACGCAGATATAAAAAATAATGTATTAAAAAGGAATAAATTTAAAAATCTAGGAGACAAAAATTTTGAGAAGTTTACCTAGTTGTGCTTCGTCAGGGCTGTGGACAAGTAATGTGATCATAGGCTTAGGCTTGTCAGGTTGTTCCAGATCCTTAAAACCTGCCTCAAGTGAATTCCAAAAATTGTTGCTCTGATTTGGAAAAAGTGCTTTCAGCTGTTGCAAGTTCTCAATGATTTCTTTGCCATTTTTATTATTTAGCTGGGCATTTTGATGGAATACACTACTAAGAACTACTGCACGCATATTTGGTGTAAATGCAGTTACAGCAATAATTGTTAATGCCAAAATCAGTACTAATATATGAATGACGGAGTTCGGCCAGCAGGGTTTGCGAGCTGCAGTTTTGGCTTTGTTGTCAATTTTAATTGCATCTTTGCTCAAATTTTTTTGACTAAAAGCGCAATGCAATTCTGTTTTTAGTGTATTTGATTCGATATTGAGGCTGTTGCTGCTTGAGGACAGATATCCTCCTTTAACCTTGATGCAGATGCCGAGTGGTGTGGTCTCGGTCTCCTCTTCTTGGCTTTCTTCGTCAGAAGACATTTGGTTGTTGACGGCCATTTGATTGATCAAGATTCGAAAACTGGGAGAATCGCTCACAGACTTTCGACGTTTGGTTATTGGGCTGTTTTGCATATCTGTAAAAAAAATCAGATCAATATTTTGAATATATACTGTAGTTATTGTAAATTATAATTAATTAATCATAATATAAAAACAATGGCAGTTGAACATGGAGGAAGATTAATAAAAATTACCATTTAAATAGCTCCAAGCAGCACTGTCATCATCTAATTTACAATTAGATTTTGTTTGCAGAATTTCTAACAAGACTCTCACTCGTTGTATGTGTATCACATTTAGCATATGGAATATTATGTACTGCAAAATAAATTTTATTCAAAAATTAAATCAAAGTTGAAATATTAAAGAATGACAATTTTGAAACTTTTCATAAAAAAATCACCTTAAATTTCTTCCTTTCTTCCTCTTTTGCTACATAATACTTTGACTTCGACACCGGTCGTGAACATATGAGGGTCCATGTGTTATGATTGTTTTGGCTTTTGGGTACTTCCCCCGTTTCTTTCTTGAAAGCTAAAAAAACATTCCGCCTACACTCCCGTAATTCCAATTCCCCCTGCAAAAGACGAAAGATCCGTGGCTTGTCCGTGGCGTTAGCGGAGCGCATGTTTTGCAAACCTGCCACCGTAGCGAAGCGGCGCTGTTTGCATTCGTCCGATCGCATCCCTGGCGTCCATTTTCGCCGAATCTTTTTTATCCGACTTTCGCCTAATTTTCAGCCGATAAATCGCCATGGCCGATCAGGACTACGACGCCAGCGGTAACGGAGATTTCCAGGAGGACATGGGTGGTGAATGCGACAACCTGGAGAGCGAGGATGCCCTGCTGAACGGCGCCGAAAACGGCGGCGGCGAAACCCAATTGCAACAGCAAGGCGAGTCGTCCGGCTCGGGCAGGGATGACGACAGGTATGCGTACATACGTTTTTGCCCACAAATCCCATCATTTTCCCATACCTATGTGTGCGTGTGTCCGGCTTGTAGGTTCGAATTGTCCGATTTTGAAGAATTGACGCCGAAATGTGATAAAAAGCTCCCCCGGGCGAGCTCGGCCGAAAAAATCAATAATCTGGGAGAGGATGCAGAGATTTTTCCAGTACAGATTTATCTTGAATTTACAGCCTTTGCAGTCACATTGTGCAGTTTTAGTAATTAAAAATGTATCGCTGCACTTGTTTTTTATCTGCACCGACTTGCTACTGCGTAATTACCTTCAGCATTAACGGTTGGTTTAGCCTCGGAATCGAGGCCGGCGAAAGGGTCATTGACTGCCGGCAAAATGGAGGCTGTGCGGTAAAGATTTTTATTTAAAAAAATCCGCGATCATCGGGCCGAGTCTGGCACATATTGATGATTTTTCAATCGCAATCTGTTACATGAGGTCTGATGAACAGTTTCGGATGAGTAGTTTCGGACAAATCGGGCCTACGGCGTGCATTCGGAGGGTTCGAAATGAGTCAGTGCCTTTCGCATCGATCGCCCTTGTTTCTCTAAAGCATCGGTTATCTCAGCCGTTCCACTTCTTGATACTTGATGATTGACATTTTTACATATTATTATTCGATTGTGATTCACTTGTCGTTCTTTTTCAGCACGCATTTCTCAATCTCTGTCAGAATTTAAAAGTAGCCGCTCTGAACATGAAGCCAATCGGAATGAGATTGATTGACAAGCGTCGTTTGTCGACGCTCTCTGAAATTTCTTAATTCCATTAAATTTAATTTCAATTATTCTAGCAGCCGTGGATGATAAACAAAGTCTTTGAGGTAAACCTAGTTGTCGCTCTCTCTCTATTTTATATATTTCCTCACGTTGAGATATATATCAGTGTTATTTTATTAATAATTACACATTATATTTCACTTGGCTGAGATAATTTTAATGTTTTAAAATTTCGGAAATTATTCCCTAAATGAATATTTTTTTTTCAATCTGGAGATGTCCCGGGTTTTACAAAATTATGATGTGAAAGGCACGTATTTCGAATTTATCCTACATTAGTTCTAAGTGTTTTGGATGGGCATTTTTTAAACATTTAATTGCGTATAAATCTTGCTGACTGAGTTTTGATGATAGTGAATTAATAATAAATTAATTATTCAATCAACCTCTCACTGGACTGCTGATCTAATTAATTAATCAATTGATTTTTGGTAATTTTTCTACTTTTATTTTTTCTCACTGGTAATTATTTAATGACAGTTTTAAATCGACCTCCTGTATTGTTGTCGTTGCAGACACAATATGAATAAGCAAACGAAATCTCTTCAAAGTAAGAATTGAATGAAAAGTGCTCGTGAGACCTTAAGGGGCTTGTTCGTTCAGGTGCATAAGCAAAGAGACTTTACGAGTCGTCCTCGCTTTCGGCACTGGCGTTGCTTTGATTTATTTTTGCAAATAAACCAAAGTAACAAACCGGAGCCCTCTTCATTTGCTCGCAGGCTTTGAATCTGAAGTCTTTTGTAATTACACATTCCAAGCAATAAAAATGAACAAAAACCTCCTACTTTTTGATGTTTTGCTTTTTATACACCGACGTTTGAGGCAAAATTTCTCTTAAGAACCGATATTTTTGTGTCATATTATGTCGATTAATTGTAAAATATTCAACTTTGCTGCTAGGTTGTGCGTGGAAGAGAATAAATTTAAAATTGTGATAAAAGTGTAAAATTATATTGTGAATATTAATAATTACAGTTCCTTGCGAGGGACAAGAATTATTAGAACTCTATCAAAAAATGTCAAAATTTTATTTTGAATGCCTCGACGTCGATTGCTCTTTGTAAATTCGGTAAAACTTGTGTTCGTTGTAAAATTTGCATCATGGTGTAAAAATTTGTAAAATAATTATATTAATTTGCTGTTAAAATTCACTGCCTTTGCGAGAAATGGAGTGAAACGAGGGGCGTATTCCACCTTCGAGTTTCAAGTTTGTTTAAAAAGCAAAAAGTCGTTCGTTGGCAAGAACCGGTGTGTGTTGGTAGAGCATTGGCGGAACTGACTAAAATGTGGTTAATTATCGTCTCCAGGTGAAGTGGATGGAGGGCGTCGGACGGCCCTGGAACAATCGTCAGCTGGCGGAGTGGCCATTAGTGCTCCCCGCGGCGCCCATGGTATTGTCTCAAGTAGTACACACTCCTCACTCCTCTGGGTTTTTCTTGCCGTTGAGATTTTGAATCACTTTCAAAATAAATCGACACCAAAGAGAAAGCCAACTTTGTTCGTTCTCGTCCATTTCAACATTTTTGTGCTGCCACACGTTTATTATTAACAGTTTTTGCAGAAATAAATCGATTTGATACTCTTGATGTTTCTATCTGAAGATCACTATTATATATTTTATTTGAACATATCATTATTTGCGCTCTTATATATATTATTATATATATATCTATTACATATTCTTAAATTTTTGCCATTTTTTAAAGACTTTTCAGATGATTCGTGGTTGCTTGTTGGTTGCTGGCCTTGTTAAAAGTCTCACTAAAAGTCGAGTTTAAAACTAAGACCCAGTCACTCTTTTTTGAGAATTTAGGATGGGCCTCCTATTTTTTCCATAAATCTCTAATGCCTGTTGTTCAATTTGCAGAAAACTGTTTGTCGGAGGTCTCAGTTGGGAAACCACTGATAGTGAGTATTTTTTTTCTTCTTTTAATGTCACAAGTTTTTCAGAGACTTATTTAAAAGTCATCAAAAAATAAAAGCTTAAAAAACCTTTTGCTTAATTGTCCTCTAAAAATTTGCGCTTTTTCAGAGGAACTCCGAGAGCACTTTTCCAAGTTTGGTGACATCGAGAGCATCAATGTGAAGACTGACCCCAACACCGGCCGCTCAAGGGGATTTGCGTTTATCGTCTTTGGCACTGCAGAAGGGCTCGAGAAGGTTGGTTGCCGTGCATTTTAGGCGCCAGCTGAGTTTTACCCTTGTCTTTTTGAACAATGTCTAGGCCCTTAACGCTGGTGACCACGTAATCAACAACAAGAAGGTTGACCCCAAGAAGGCCAAGGCCAGACATGGCAAGATTTTTGTCGGTGGTCTGCCCACCGAGCTCAGTGATGAGGACATCAAGAGCTTCTTCTCTGCCTTCGGAACCATAATGGAGGTTGAGATGCCCTTCGACAAAATTAAGAACCAGCGCAAGGGATTCTGCTTCATCACTTTTGAGTCTGATCAGGTCGTTCAGGAGCTGCTCAAAACGCCCAAACAGACCATTAATGGAAAGGAGGTAGGAATTTATCTTATTTAATGACTTAAATAATTTTTAGAAATGCAAATGACGTAATATGTGATATTTATTCTTAATTTAATTTTCTCAGGTTGATGTGAAGAAGGCCACTCCTAGACCAGAGAACATGGGTGGTATGCGAGGCGGCCGTGGTGGAAGGGGTGGTCCACGAGGTGGAAGAGGCGGCCGAGGAGGTCGTGGCCGTGGAGGCGGTGGTGAGTGTTTTAAAGCCACTATGCAATGCGACCGACCGAGTCCCTCAGGCACCTGTTAGGCACCTGTCTCTCTTGATTGCTTCCCTCTTGAAACGTCCAAAGACTGGGGGTGGTTTTGTTTAATTTTTTGATTTTAAAACTGGTTGCTATGCAGGTTTCGGAGGCAGCCAGAATAACTACAATAATGGCTGGAGCTACGGCGAGGGAAATGACGGTTAGTTTTCATAAGTTTCTATACTTGATGGCCCTCGCTTTTGAAAATTCGTCGTTACGTCCTTCTCGTTTTGATGGTGTGGGTTTTTTAGTGATTAAATAAGGGCATTTGGTTGCCAAATTTCTCCGCGCTTTGATATATTGTTGGATTAATGTTTTGATTAGTCCAGCCATTTCCCCCGAATCCCTTGTAGAATATCACACTGATTGAAAAACAGAACATTTCCAGGGATGATAATTTGGTCACAACACACTGTTAACTAATTGCATGTTCTCTTTGGTGCCTATCCTTAACCAAAAAAATAAGACCAAGAAAATCTGGGTTCACTTTTCAAATTTTTGTCCTTGCAGACTAGTGACTAAACAATTTTAGCTGTTGCTTTATTCAGTGTTATTGAAACAACTGAATTCGTGTATTTCAGGCGGATATGGAGGTGGATACGACTACTATGGAAGCGGTTACGGCAACTACGGTGGATATGGCGGCGGATACGACTATACTGGATACAATTACGGCAACTACGGTGAGCATTTAGTCCCCTAAATGCCCTAATTGAGGTCCTCACACTCAGACACACAATCCCATTAGATCATTTTGCTTATTTTTAATATTCTTTACAAGAGAAATATTCAGTACAAAGAAACAAATCATAAGATATTTTAGTAAAATCTTGGGCCTGGTTTTTGGCAGAACCAAAGGCCTTTTAATTGCAATGGAACAGTTTTGTTTATATTTACTTAAGATTAATTGGCGTTCCTTGCTGCAGACTACGGCTATGGCAATAATTATGATGGAGGTTATGGACGCGGTGGCCCCCGTGGTAAAGGTACTGCATCATACGATATTGCTGAAAATGGTCACACTCCCACCTGCCCTTGTGATATCTATATTTTATATAATTTCCTCAATTCATTATGTTCATTCACTCTGCATGCCACTCCCTCAATCATTATAGAGAGAAGTAGTTTTTGAGACGTTCAGTTTATTACATACAAGCTCATTATATTCTTGCCTTAAGTTACAATTTTAGTGGTTGTCTGCACTCTTTATTAATTAATTTGATATGAAGTTTTCTTGATTATTTTACTCGCCTGCTTTTTTCTCTTTTTTAATCACGCCATCAAGTTAGCGCAATATCATTAACAAGTCGATCACAAGAGAGGTTGAGGTCACTACAACTACCGAAATTGTTGCAGGCTATGGCGGTGGCAAACAGAGGGGTGGTCGTGGAATGCACCGGCAGCAACCGTACTAGTTGCCCTCTCTCAGTACTTAATTCTCATTCAGACATCGATGTTTTACTTTTTTGGTAAGAAATAATAATTCAGAAGCGTACCTAGATTCACTAGTATCATTTTTAAATATTTTTTGCTCAGTTTGGCTGCCGTTTTTTGTAGTTTATAAAATATAATTCGCTTTGGTTGATGGGAAAAAAAATTAGTGCATTCAATAAACTCCTAATACACCATCCCTCGGCATGTGTCAATAAAAAACCTCAATTCGCAAAAACTTGGTTCTGATGATTAATCATGGAATTGACTTAACGACCCGCATAAAATTATTTCACTGGTGAGTTAAAATGCATTAATTTACTGCCTAGGTTTATCAGTATTCAGTTTAAAGTTTCCTTTCTGGATTTTCACTGGTTTGGTTTTAACGTAATGCTTGCCTTAAGTCCAATTTTATGGTCAAGATTCAGAACTAGGTTTTTTTTCTTTCAGTTTCAGTTTTTTTCTACTCTGTAACCAAAATTTTAATTTTGTTGCAGAACAATCTTAACTCAGCACAACACCGCAGCACTCACCCCTTCACCCTCAAACTCAAGTCATGAATCACAAGAACGAATCAATCCAGCTCATTCGGCCGAATCGGACATTGCCGAGTTCGCGGTTTGGCTGTCGACTTTTACTGCAGCAAGTTTCCGTCGCCATTCCAGATAGATGAAATAATGATGTATTTATTGTCCGGTGAAGTGCATGGTTTTAAGAAAATCACAGAGACAAGTTAACTGATCATCGTGAAAGTGAGTGAAAAATATCTTCCTTTCATCTTGTCGGCCAACACGTGATTTTGATTTGGCCATCTCAGTTATTTAAATGATTATTAATTAATGTACATGAATTAATAATTATGTATACAACACTTTGTAAGGCTTTAGTATTAAGTCATGTCTCGCTTAATTCTAGTGCATCCATTCATTCTTTGTAATATAAGTGTTTGGAATGTTCGACAGATTTTAACGCCAACATTACAGTCGAAACGCAACTGTACGTTCTACAAAAAAAAAAATTAAAATCCTTTGTAAAAAAAAATTAAAATCAGTATTTACTTTCTGACCAAATGGCCTTAAATAGCAAACAAAACAATTTTGATTTGAAACACGCTTTATTTTGTCATCGGGCTAAAACACTGGAAAGCAACAAATCCAAGAGTTTCAAATAAAAGATTTCTGGGTATTGGAGCAATCGAAGTAGAGTAACGCAAAATTATTTTGAAATATTCTGAATAAATAAAGAATTATTACAGCCTTAATTTAGTCGGAGCAGCGATATTCTTTCCCCTTCACATTCTCGGTGGTCTTTGTCTGGCTTCAGAGTTAACCCCAAACACGGACGTTCATGTCCCATGAAGAGGTGACAATTGCTATTCCGTTGGGCGAGACAGACAGAGAGGTGATGCGGTTGTCATGTCCCTGGAGTTGTCCTGCAATTTCAAATAAACCTAAGTCTCGGGAAAAAAAATCATCTTGTAACTTCATCTCACCACAATGAACATTCTTCATCGTGTCCCAGCTGTGGACAGTGGCGTCGTCGCTTCCGCAAAGGACCATTCGGCCAGATTTGGAAAGTCCACAGCTGGTGAATCCTGGGGTGCCTGAGGGCGCCTTGTACAAGGCAATCTGCTGGTCAGAGCGCAGGTCGAACAGGCGGGCCGTTTTGTCCTCTGAACCAGTTGCAAAGGCTTGGCCAGAGGGATGGAACTGCAGTTCAAAACTTAGATAATTTTATACATAACCAGCATTTTAAAATACATACGCAAACAGAATTGACATCAGCCTCATGTCCAAAGAAGGTCTGCTGTGGCTTCTCTTCACGTATGTCCCACAAGCGGCTTGTCTTGTCCACACTTCCGGTGACGTAGCAGTTGTTATCCGGCGCCAAAGAAATGCTGACCACGTCTCCACAATGCGCGTTGAACTCCATCGTTTTTTTGCCTGCTTCCAAGTCCCAGTGGCAACTGATTTTTTACCATTGGTCTCGTTCAATTAATTTTTTTTTCAATTTTCCGAGCTTACATTTTCATGTCTCCCGAACCAGTGATAAGGTGGTTGTCATCGATAAAGCGGCACGAGGACAGGAAGCCCTCGTAACCAAGCAACTCGCGCAGCATTTTGGCAGCGCCGGTGCTCGCGTCCCTGTTGTTGACGTCGTACACTGTGCACATATTGTCCATTCCACCGCAAGCTGGAATTTTTTAGCGAATTGATGAATTTATCATCACCTGCAGTTTCAAAAAATTTGATTCGCTTACCAACAAAGTTACCGCTAGGGGAGAAGGCACTGCTCATAACCCAAGATGACCTCAAAGGAATGACCTGGACCTTGTTGCCTGTCCATGTGTCCCAAATGATCAGCTTTCCATCCAAAGAACCAGTTACGGCATGTCTAAAGATTTTATTTTTTGAATGCGACTATTCTATTCTTAATATTAGTTCAAATTAAATTATTAATATCTTGCTCATTATTACTTCAATATTTTTTTAAGATTTATACCTGCTGTCGCCACTGAAGTGGCAAGTGGTCACCTTGTTAATATGACCTTTCAGCATTTTCTTGGTGGAAAGGCGAATTTTCGGTGCATCGGCCATATCACCTGACTTTTCAGATAAATTGGCATCGTTCACACCCTTTTGCTTCTCCTAAAAAATATTTGATAAAATTGCTTTTTTATAAATATTAAAGAAAATTATTTTTCTTAGAAAATTTATCTGCTGGAGGCAAAAAACTTTTTATATATTTTTTTCCTTAATAGAAAAAAATATGCACAAAATATTCATTCATAATAAAATAATTGATTCAAAATTATAACTTGTATAATTAAAGTCCAACCTGAATATCGGAAATAAGCTTTTCAAGCTCCTGCTTGAGGGCAGAAACTTCTGGTTCCTCCTTAGGCATGGCGAGCGCTCGCTGTCGTGTCTGCTGTCCAGCTTTCGGGTCGTCCGACTGAGCGCTTGAAGGGCCGCCTCGTGACCGCGCGCCGTGCTGGCTGCTCCCCGGCAGATCCTATTAGTTGCATATGCCCTGTAATGTGATTATCCCCGGCCACCCCTTAACTCAATTAAGCGTACCCTTCGCTGCCCAACTGTCTGTCACACACGAGCGGCGCACTTAAATATTTATTTATTCTACATTATTTTCAAAATTGCATTTACTTAGCACGTTAAAAAGGAAGAAAAAAAACTTGTAAGTAGGAATAAGAAAATAAAGAAATTGCTACTTTAATAATTTTTTAACCTAGCTGTCCTATTAAGTTTATAAAATTGTTCAGCTTAACATATATTTAAAAAATTAATTGCATTTATAACAATTATGTTATTTTTATTATAGTTTTATGAAGGTTAACAGAAAAATAAGAATATAAATGATATATATTTTTTAATTCACCATTGTTTCATGTATTGAAAATTTAATAACAAAAAAAAATTAAATTTTTTCATCAATTTATGGTCAACATTGATGTTTTGGTAAAATATATATAAAAAAAAAAAATAGCACAGGTGCATGTACTGCATCGTAATAAGTTTTGTAAAGTTATTATACTCGCGTGCACACAGTCTGCCAAAAGTCATTCCAAAAATATTCCCCACTCTCTCTTTTGCCGTGATCAATCACTTGAATTGTTATGGTTTCACAGCATTTTCAATAAGTTCGCATGTCCCCCTCTTACATATAAGCCAACGTGACATATATACCAAATCTACGAGCAGTCATACAATGCTTTACATTCCTCAGCTATATAAGTAGAAAATTATTGTTACAAAAAATATCACTTTTACTGGCGTAAAAGTATTTTTTTCATTTTACAAATCATGATGCTCCAAGATATAACAACTCTTAATTAATTTAAAAAAATACATTTTCATCACAAGATCTTGTAACTTATCAATATATTCTACTCAGCTATAGCAGGCAGCACTTTATATGGGTTGAGAATTCCATTCGGATCCAAAACACTTTTAATACCTCGCATTACTTCAATAGCAGCCTCACTCTTGGAATACTTCAAAAAGTCCCTTTTCATCAGCCCAATGCCGTGCTCGGCACTGACACTGCCCCTGTGCTTAGAGGTCCACTCATAAATCAACGGTTCAATCAAGCCCTTGATGTTGTGTGAAAACTCGGCTGAACTTACGGTAAAGTGAAGATTTCCATCACCTTTAATTTTAATTTATAAGATTCGCAATATTTATTATAAAATTTTCCATTTCAACTCACCTAAGTGACCTAAACCGCAACAACGAATTGCGCCAGCTTCTTTGACTTTGTCATTGAAAAAAGGAACAAGGTCGTAGAAATTTCGAGCAGGCAGAGTTATATCATACGAGTAAACATACCCATCTCTCAAAAGTGCCTCAGCAACGCATTCTCTGATATGCCACACGGACTAAAAATACACTTAAATGAAAACTTTAACAATAAGTCTAATAAGAGCGCATACTTTAATTCTGGATGGCTCTGTGATCACTGTTCCATCGATGACAAGGCCTTCATCCATTAAAACTTTCAAAAAATTATTGAGCTTTTCCTCATCGTGAGCCAAGTTGCTGCCAGACGATTCAAGAATAATGTAGAACGGCATTTTTGCGAGCGGAAGTTTGATTTTCATATTTTCCGTCACTGCATCAGCGCACTCGAGGTCCATCAATTCACAAGCGGACAGAATTTCTCCAAGAAGGTGTTTGGCCTTCTGCGTCGTTTTCAGAACAGCGTCAAAATCTTGAAGACCTAATTTTATCTGAAGTATTTTTAAATTAAACAAATAAATAAGAAATTTTATTACCTAGAAACATTAGCGAGACAGCTTTAGGCGCTGGTGGGCACTGGATGGCCACTTTTGTGACAACTCCCAAGGTGCCCTCGGATCCGATGAACAAATGGTGCAAGGCATATCCAGTGTTGTCTTTTTTTAAGCAGCTGAGAGAGTCCACTATAGTGCCATCAGCTTTGACCTTATTGATATAAAACAAAAATATAAAACTATTAAATTAAAAAAAAAAAACTGCAACCTACAGCAATTAGCCCCAAAGTGTTGGCATGCATGCTGCCGTAGCGCAAAAGCCGAAGACCTCCAGCATTTGTAGAGATATTCCCGCCAATCTGACAACTGCCCTTGGCCCCCAGGTCAAGAGGCATCATCAGTCCTTTATCCTTAAGAGCATTGTCAAGATCTTCAAGGATGCAACCAGCCTCACAAACAATTACGCCTGTTAAATAAATTAATTAATAATTTGATTTTTTATAAGCTGCGTATTCTTACCTGAATCGGTGTCAATGAGGTCAATCTTTTTCATCAGAGAAGTGCTAAGGATGACCTCGTCAAACACGGGCACACTGCCGCCAACCAGACCTGTGTTTCCACCCTGAGGGCACACGGCCAGTTTTTCTTGATTGCAAAACTGTAATATTTCCGAAATCTCCTCCGTCGTCTTTGGTATCAGGACCACCGAGCTGTTGCCTCGGACTGTTCGCGCCCAGTCTGTATTGAAGAGCTCGAGGTCGTCCGTTTCAGAGGTCAAAACCCTTACAGCAGGCAAAATGTTTTTGAAGGTTGTCAGATGCCTGTCATTGAGGGTGGCAAAGCCTCCTCTCTTTAATTTAGGGTACCGTACCTGAGTCAGCTCAACCTAAAAGTAATAAATAAATTTAATGATTTGTATATACTTTATTATATATTTTTAATTCAACTAATTTTAAATAATTAAATAAAATTTAACCTTGTTTGAGGTTGATTTGAATTTCCTGGTGACATAGAAAATGAAAATTCTTTTAAGGTCATAACGGCCATAACTGGCACTTAATAGAGATGACATTTTCAGCATTTTTGCGTCTCAACCTTTGTAGCGACTCAAAAATAATGATAATAAAATCGATAAAATCATAGAGTCATAGTCTCTTTATCTAGAGTTTAGTTTCAAGATAAAGAGTTTAATTTTACACGTGTTCCTGCAAATTAATCAAGTTTTTTATATATGATAACTTTTGACATCCGATATCGGTGTACACAATATAGTTGATTCCGGTTGATCCTTAAATAAAAGTTTCAGTTCCAATAATATATCATGCAAAATTTATTGTGCAACCATTGGAAATTTTACCAACAGCAATTTTGCAGACAATAGACAATATAATCCACCTGATCCACCAATATCCCAATTCTGCAATGAGAAGAATTGGATTGGTTTCACATATTATGCAGCATTTTCAATTAAGTTCAAATATCCCCCTCTAACATATAAGCCGCAACACGACGGACCTATTCCACCACGAGTAGTCATGCAATACAAATATATTTATGTTATATTTTTCAATTATTAGTATAAAAACTTATTGTTGCATAGAATTTCACAATTATTGGTATGTAAGTTTTTTTTTTCATCACAATGGCACCCACTTAATTAATTTAAAAAAATATATCACAAGACCTTGTAACTTATTAATATATTCTACTCAGCTATGGAAGGCAGCACTTTATAAGGGTTAAGAATTCCATTCGGATCCAAAACACTTTTAATACCTCGCATTACTTCGATAGCAGCCTCACTCTTGGAATACTTCAAAAACTCCTTTTTCTTCAGCCCAATGCCATGCTCGGCACTGACACTGCCCCTGTGCTTAGAGGTCCACTCATAAATCAACGGTTCAATCAAGCCCAAGAGGTTGTAGGAAAACTCGGAAGAAGTTACGTTAAAATGAACGTTTCCATCCCCTTATTTTAATACATTTTTTAAAAAATATATTTATTTATCATTTTCCATTTCACTCACCTAAGTGACCAAAACCGCAACAACGAATTGCACCAGCTTCTTTGACTTTGTCATTGAAAAAAGGCACAAGATCGTAGAAATTTCGAGCAGGCAAAGTTATGTCATATTTGTAAACGTATCCATCTCTCAAAAGTGCCTCAGCAATGCATTCTCTGATGTGCCAAACAGACTGTAAAAGTACACATTGAATATATTTAACAATTAGTATATAAAGTGCTAACCTTAATTCTGGATGGCTCCGTGATCACTGTTCCATCGATGACAAGGCCTTCGCCCATCACAACCTCCAAAAAAGTATTGAGCTTTTCCTCGTCGTGGGCCGAGTTGCTGCCAGACGACTCCAAGATGACGTAAAAGGGCATTTTTTCAAGTGGAAGTTTGATTTTCATATTTTCCTCCACTGCATCAGCGCACTCAAGGTCCATCAATTCACAAGAGGACAGAATTTCACCAAGTAGGTGTTTGGCCTTCTGCGTTGTTTTCAAAACAGATTCAAAGTCTTTAAGACCTACAGATATTTTTTGAAGTTAATAAATTGTTAATAATAATGAACCATAATTGGTCTGGATAAGAATAAAATTGCATCACCTAGAAACATTAGCGAGACAGCTTTAGGCGCTGGTGGGCACTGGATGGCCACTTTTGTGACAACTCCCAAAGTGCCCTCGGATCCGATGAACAAATGGTGCAAGGCATATCCAGTGTTGTCTTTTTTTAAGCAGCTGAGAGAGTCCACTATAGTGCCATCAGCTTTGACCTTATTGATATAAAACAAAAATATAAAACTATTAAATTAAAAAAAAACTGCAACCTACAGCAATTAGCCCCAAAGTGTTGGCATGCATGCTGCCGTAGCGCAAAAGCCGAAGACCTCCAGCATTTGTAGAGATATTCCCGCCAATCTGACAACTGCCCTTGGCCCCCAGGTCAAGAGGCATCATCAGTCCTTTATCCTTAAGAGCATTGTCAAGATCTTCAAGGATGCAACCAGCCTCACAAACAACTACGCCTGTTAATTTAATGAAATAATAATTTGATTTTCTTTTAAACTGCACGTATTCTTACCTGAATCGGTGTCGATGAGGTCAATCTTTTTCATCAGAGAAGTGCTAAGGATGACCTCGTCAAACACGGGCACGCTTCCGCCAACGAGGCCTGTGTTTCCACCCTGAGGACACACGGCCAGTTTTTCTTGATTGCAAAACTTTAATATTTCGGAAATCTCCTCCGTCGTCTTAGGTCTCAAGACCACTGAGCTGTTGCCTCGGACTGTTCGCAGCCAGTCTGTATTGAAGAGCTCCAGGTCGTCCGTTTCAGAGGTCAGAACCCTTCCAGGCAAAATGTTTTTGAAGGTTGTCAGATGCCTGTCATTGAGGGTGGCAAATCCTCCTCTCTTTAATTTAGGGTACCGAACTTGTGTCAACTCAACCTAAATAAATTTTGTTTATTAAGAAAATTATTAAATAAATAAAAAGTTACCTTATTTGAGGTTGATTTGCCTCTCCTGATGACATTGGAAAATTTTCTAAGGTCGTGTAGTCTACTGGCACTTAGAGATGATATTCGCAGCATTTTTGCACCTCAGCCTGAAGCAATATAAAAATATTAATAACACTCACTATCAAAAGTTCATTTTGATGATAAGGAATTACATTTTGCACACCACTGCAATGAATTAAGTTTTTTCAAAGATAAAATTTTTTGACTTTGAACTACCAATTGTTTCCACAATATAGGGATTTTTTCAATAAAAGTTTTAGTTAAAGAATATCATGTTCATAAATTTATTATGCAACATTTGTGATTTTATCGACAGCCAATTTTGCAGACATGATTACATCATTTATCCCGATTCCTCGATAAGAAGCTCCAACGAGATGCAAGGGCAAATTTTTAGCTTTAATGTAATTGTCAATTTCATCAAGTCTTTCGTAATGTCCAACAGTATACTGAGGAATGCATTCCGTTTGTATGACTGGATTTACATCGACAGGTTCTTCTTTTACACCCAAAATTTCTTGAATATTTCTCACAGCAATATCAGTCAAGTCTTGCAGGCTGCAGTTTGTAAATTGAGGATGAAACCAGTGCCCACCCATCATTGCTGTAAACACGGTATCCCCACCTGGACAGGGGAAACAGACACTGTCGTAAATCACTCCGAGAAGAGGCTTTTGTTCAACAGGCGGCACCAAAAATCCAAACCCGGGCTCTTTCAGTTGCTGCCCTTTAAATCGAACGTTGACCACAGCGACAGTGGCACTCTTCTGGGCAGACAATTTTTTAGCCAGGTCCGGGTGGCCTTCTTGCAGGAGAGGCGCAACTTTTGCTGCGGGCAGGGCGCAAATTATATTTTTTCCAGTCAAGGTTGCACCGGATTTCAAAACTACAGAGACAGAATTTCCAGAAAACTTGATTTTGATGCATGGGTCGTTTTTTCGCAAATCAATATTTGATTCAGCCAGTTTGATCTCCATCACATCAGGAAGGGTTTGAAGACCGTTCTCCAAAGAGTAGATGCTCCACTTTTCAGTCTTAGCGCGGAGTGCAAGTTTACGAGGCTTAATTTGTGCCTTTTTCTTGTCATTTTTAAAAGCCTCTTTTAAAAGACCTTTAAAAACAGAACCGTGTTTCTGCTCAGCTTCGAAAAGAGCTCGGAAGAGCATTTTGACACTGATCTCTTTAGCGTTTCCAGCGCAGATTCCACAAAGCATCGGAGATATTGCGTAATCTGCCACGTCTTGCCCAAATCGTCTTCGAATGAAGTCATAGGAACTTTCGTCTGTTAACAATTTTCTCTCAGCTTTGAAATCAGTCCACACACACGCAGCTAGGGGCTTCTCAAATGGAGGTCTGGTTTGGAAAAGTCCCGAGAAGCTGTTCGGAAGGGGATGCAATTTTCCTTTGGCAAAAATCAACCTGTTCTTTGCTGCCGGGTGGTCTCTTGAAATCGGTTTTACCTGTTGATTTTTTTTAATAATTTAATCATTTTATATACTTTTATTTCTAAATAATACTTTATCTTCTAGTCCTAAATCTTCAATTAGGTTTAAAGTGTTTGCTCCTTGTTCGCCAGCAGGACGGATTGTCCGAGGACCATGTTCGAAAAGGATTTCGCCAGGTCTCCTGTTTGTTTGAATCCAACCTCCTAGTCTTGAACTTGATTCAACAAGTGTGGGTGCTGCGCTACGTAGATAATAGGCTGCTGAGAGGCCTGCAATTCCACCTCCAAGAATGATTGTAGACATGATGTTAAAGGCCTATAAAAATAAATTAGCTTTAGATCATCCACCAAATTTAAATTAAAAAAAGATGATTATGTTACATCATAATATTTTGAACATTTCTATTATGTTAAAATAAATGCAATTAAAAACAAAAAAGAAATTTACCTACTTAAAAAGTCTGTAAGAAATTCAACACATAAACGGTCAACGGCAAGATAAATTCAGTCTCCAAATCTTCAAAGATCGTCTAAAACAAAACTTAAACCCTAAACCCAAAACTCGTTTGTTGTGTCAACGTTGTGTTTTTGCTCCATTCACGTGAGTTGTGAGCACCATCTGCCGCAGCCTACGCGAGCCTGCCGAAAATTTTGGACACCACAACTTTCGTCAACGACTGAGAAAATTTAACGAAACTCCCAGATTTTGTGAGGAAAACGAACATCAAAAGGTATCAGAGCAGAGTTTAGAAAATGATCTAACCGTAATCACTCGAAGTATGCCAAAAATTAGTCCTCCGGGTCGTTGTTTGTGATGGAGAAATTCGCCGGTCTGCGAGAACGAGTTGCGTAATTTTCACTCCAGATGATTCCTCATTCCTCCTCTCCCCTCCCCTTTACAAGGTCAAGTTTGGTCGATCCTGTGACGAGTCTCCTTGACATAATCCATCCGCTGCTAAATTCTACGGGGGCTACAAAGAAGAGGCTAGTGGCACTTTTCATCCGCATTGTCAACTAGATCTTTAAAAATTATAATCTTAATTTTTAATTACTCTAATAAATTCAACCGGTACTTTGAAAAGTATTATAATTTAAAATAATACATTTTATGGATGAAAATTTAATATGTTTTTCCAGCTAATAAAAATTGAAATTTTAATTTCAGAAATTCCCGCCATGGCTAGCGCAGCAATACACTCTCTCCAGGCTTTCCGCGTGAGTGTCAGAGTGCCGCTTCTGTACGGTTCCACTGTTCTTCGCCAATTTGCCACAAAAATGTCTGGACTCCCCAGGGTATTCTTTGATATCTCTGCCGACGGTGCCCCCGTTGGCAGGATTATCATGGAGGTGAGTTGAAACCTGCCCTCGGATGGCTTCTGCAGCCCCCAAACATAAGCCGGCTTGCCGCCCCCGTCGTGCCTTCGGCTTGGTCCCGTGACACCAATTAATGTGTTACTCGCTCAAAATCAACCCTCCTTTCGATCTCAACCTTGCCAGAGTGATCCTTTGTAAGCCCTAGATCGATTTACAACAGATTTACAAAAAGTCTGCTCGTGGAAATTTCCATTGTCCTAGGCAATGGCAACACGCGGTCGCCATATCAATTTAACACCTGCCGATAACGGCAAGGATGGGCCGGCCTGCCTCAAGTCAATCTAACCGTCAAAGGAATTAAAAAATTTTAAACATGATTTTAAATTTCAGCTCCGCTCTGATGTGGTGCCCAAGACTGCCGAGAACTTCCGTGCCCTGTGCACCGGCGAGAAGGGCTTTGGATACAAAGGCAGCACGTTCCACCGTGTCATCCCCAACTTCATGTGCCAGGGTGGCGACTTCACAAACCACAATGGCACTGGTGGCAAGTCCATCTATGGCAACAAGTTTGAAGATGAGAACTTCACTCTGAAGCACACCGGCCCAGGTACAAAAATGGCAAATTGCATTACTCAGCAGTTAAAGCTGAAACGCCCACATTGATCAAGCCTGTTTTCTTAATGTTGATGTTTGCCTTGAAAGAGATTTTTGTCCTTTACAAACATCTGTATATAATTTTTCCTGGCTTGTTTAATAAGATTTAAAAAATGCACTAGATTTTGTTTATATAATATATTTTTATTGAAATAAATGGGACCAATTTATAATAACTATTTAATAAATTTCAGGAATTTTGTCCATGGCCAATGCTGGCGCCAACACCAACGGCTCCCAGTTCTTCCTTACCACCGTCAAGACTTCCTGGCTGGACAACCGTCATGTGGTGTTCGGCGCTGTTGTTGAGGGCATGGATGTTGTCAAGAAGGTTGAGTCTTATGGTTCACAGCACGGCAAGACAAGCAAGAAGATTGTCGTTGACAACAGTGGCCAGCTCAGCTAAATTGATTCTGTCACAAATGTTTCTTTATATCAATTATGAGCACCACCTCTTTTCACCTGATTAGCTGCAAGGTCCCCCTTTTAGAGTATTTCTGTTTTCTGCGTTTCTCTTTTTTATCAGTTTGCTGAACGGGCGACCAGAAGCATTCCTTATCATTTTTTTACTGATCAGTCGAATGTTAAATCTATCTTCACAATGTGAACGGCAAAGTAATACGCAACCTTGTATTCATCGTGAATGTCAACAATAATGAAATAAAAAACTTACGCTACAAGTATGAATTCGAAAAAAATTGCACTTTTCATTTTCTGCCTTCTTACCATGATAAAAAACATTAAAAATTAGACAGCTTCATTAAAAATAGTTTGGAATTCTGTAGCTAATAGTTAAAAATCATGGATTAATAACCATAGGGTTCAGATTAACAAAACTAGCAACGTTTCAAAAATATAAATCTTTTATTTAGACCATTGGATCCTTGCGTAATATAAAACTTCATAATGACTTCGTAACAAAATAAACCCAGCACCAATTGAACTGATCAATTAATGACAAAACTTTCATAAAGCACCATCATCATAATAAACCAGGAATGTGCCGTTTGTGCTTTACAAATTGGCCGACTGACGAGAAGTGCTGTTAAACTTGTTGACTCCATCCCGGAGACGCTGGCCGAAGGTTGCGTCCACCTGAGAGAAGTTCTTGATGGCTCGATCCTGAATGAAGTCGGCAGCATCCTTCAAGTGATCAACGATGTTATCTACCAGACGGGTGCGCTCGTCGGCGTTAAGGACCTTGTTCCAGAATTCAGAGGCTTGAGTGAAGTTGTCCTCATCAGCGCTGTTGAACCTAAAATAACAAATATTAAATTAATACAAGCAGTTACATAATTATTTTAAATTACCTAGCCACATCTCCAACAGTCTTGAAGGATGGGGCCTTGGCGACGGGGCACTCCAGGGGGCCACTGAAGCTGTTGGGGAAGTAGTTAGGGGCGCCACCCTGGTTATCAGTGAAGCACTGGGGTCCATCGCGCTGGTAGTTAGAAACCCTGGAGCGGTAAGGGCAGTTCACAGGGATCTGCAGGTAGTTGGCTCCCAGACGGTGCCTGTGGGTGTCAGAGTAGGAAAACAGACGGCCTTGCAACATCTTGTCTGGGCTGGGCTCAATGCCTGGCACCAGGTGGGCAGGGCTGAAGGCGATTTGCTCCACTTCAGCAAAGTAGTTCTTGGGGTTGCGGTCAAGGACAATTTGCCCAACTGGGATCAGAGGGAACTCAGAATGAGGCCAAACCTGCAAAAAATTTCATTTTAAAATTTAATTTCTTGATTTTATTTATTTTCAAACCTTGGTGAGGTCAAACGGATTCCACTTCCATTTCTCAGCCTGCTCAAAGGTCATGACCTGGATGGACATGTTGAACTTTGGGTACTCTCCACGAGCAATGGCATTGTACAGGTCACGAATGGAATAGTCGGGATCCTGGGAGGCCAATTCTCCAGCCCTCTTGGAAGACAAGGTCTTGATACCCTGGCCAGACTGAAATCAAAGAAAATACTGTTTAGCAAATTTTGAAATTTGTAAGCGACACATCATTTGGAAGCAATTAATTAAATTATATTAAATGAGTTTTTAAAAATATATTTTCAAATATTTGTAAAAATTATATTTTTTATTATAATTATACCTTGTAATGGAATTTGCAGTAGACAGCCTCGTCCTTGGCATTGACCAGCTTGAAAGTGTGCGAGCCGTAGCCGTTCATGAAGCGGTAGCCATCAGGAGTGCCTCTGTCGGAAAAGAGGAACATGACCTGGTGGGTGGTTTCAGGTCGCAGGGAGATAAAGTCCCAGAACATGTCCGGGTCCTTGAGGTGAGTGCTCGGATTCCTCTTCTGCGTGTGGATGAAGCTGGGGAAGAGGAGCGGGTCCCTGATGAAGAAGATGGGGGTATTGTTTCCCACAATGTCCCAGATTCCTGCTTCGGTGTAGAACTTGACGGCGAAACCTCGAGGATCGCGCGCAGTATCGGCAGAGCCACTCTCGCCTCCGACAGTACTGAAGCGCACGGCCAGTGGAGTTCGCTTGCCGATGGCAGAGAAAATGTCAGCCTTGGTGTATTTGGTGATGTCGTGTGTTACTTCAAAGTAGCCAAAAGCACCTAGAATTGAAAAAAAATATTAATTATTCTACAAGCTTATTGAAATGTAAATATCGGTAAAAATATAATTGATTAAAATAATTATTCCAAAAATAGTTTTTTTATGTGTTAAATATGATATATAATTTGTAATAAAATGGTATTTTTTTAAACTTTTTTTCAAAAAGTTTCATTCGATTTTAAATTTTATAGTTCTATAAAAGAGAAAAGAGACTAAAAATTTTGACATTTATGATAAAAAAAAAAATATTTATTTATAGGGACTGGTTATTCTTTTTGTTTTCAAAAATTATTCTGTTGGTTCATTAGCATGATTTTGTTGAATTTATTTTACTGAGCAGCGCTGGTTGCGGTGAAAAGATGAAGCCGTTTTGTACGAGCGTCTGTACAAGACTTCTTGCGTCTGTACTATTTTAGTAAAGAGAGGATACTAAAGTGGACACGAATGAGTCTTTCAGCTTCGTCCACGTATCAGGCTCGCATGCACGACTAGGCGGTCTCGCCTCGTACGTGAATGACGTTACAAGGGCAAACGTCTCTTCCTTTTTGATCATTAGCAAACTCACAATGGAGTCGCCAAATTATTTTTTCATTATCATCTTCACGCAAATTAAATTATCGCGCAAATTAATTGAAAAAAAAAATTACCAGCTCCTTTGGCGTGAACGACTCGTTCTGGAATGCGTTCTCTGTCAAAGTGAGCCATCTCGTCAAGGAATGTGATGTCCTGCAGCAGAATGGGCCCTCGGGGTCCCACCGTGAGGGAGTTGAGCTTCTCAGAAATGGGGGCTCCATGGCCGGTTGTTAGTTTGCTGGCAGTCTGCAATCAACAATTGCGGAAAAATAATTAAAATAATTACTATTTCTATTAAAAAATTTTCATTCATAATTATTTATGTGAATTTCTGTTTGATTTCTACAATAACATTATTATGAATCAGAAGAAAGATTTTCCACAATGTTAGCTGCGTAAATTGAAATCGTTTTATTTGTATTGTGTAATTTTTTGCTTCATTTTTCCTAAGAATAGAGTCACAAAACAGGTTTTCCCGCATCATGGACAGGTCTATCGATTGCCCTGTTTATTTATCACGTGGTTGAATCAAGTCGAGGGCAAATACGTAGAGAATTTAAAATCTTTCAAGTACATTCACAGAAACATTTGGAAAATGCGGGCCTGCTGGGTTCGGACAGGTTTTCCGTTATCAACTTTGCTTCGGCTTGGCAACAGGCGCACTGTGAAAGGTGCAGCTCATGTTTTAAGTCACATTGTTGAATGTTAAAAAAAAAATAAGTAAGATGTGGAGCATTGACCCGGCTGGACCGGCAGACCACCGGTGCTCTCCCACGGGCACCAAAAAGAACCAATTGCCTCTACATGAAAATTACAGTTAGGTCTGTAGATAGCGTGTCAATAAATGAAGTTTTAAAAATAAATTTGAACTCTGGCCCCAGACGATTTTGATTGAAAATTATTTTTATCAACTCAATGAGTATTTAAGCGACACAAAAAATATTTTTAAACAGAAATAATGAGTCACAACTTCTTTAAGCGCTATAAAGAATGAGAATCTTTATTTTCAGTACAATTTTTTTTGTGATGAAAATTATATCTATTTTTTGTCAACAATTATTTAAATTTATCTACTGAATAAAATAATAATTATCTTCTTTTGGTTATAAATTAGAAATATTTAAATAATTTGTACTAGTGAGAGTAAATTGAAGAAAATTTCGAGGAAAAAAATTACAAACTGCTATTAAGGTAGAGCTATATAATTATTGCAATATTGACTTTGTTCTATTATTTAGTGATTACCACGTTGCCGTCTAGTTTTCTAAGTATTTGTGAAAAAACAATAAAAATCCTCATTCGTCATTGACAGATAAAGAGTCGCTTAGCAACATCAGGTTTTTATAATTAAATTGTGGGTGCACAGCAGAATTTTTCACAGCTTTTCGCGTTATCTTTATGCATGCGCTTTTATCAGAAAGGCTTATTTTTATTGCTTCCAATTGAGAGAGGGTCAAAGATTGGAAATTATCTTGAATGCTGTGATTATTATATGGAAAATTTTAAAACTTTTATACATTTATTTTGTGTTCAAAAATTTTTGGAATCACGCGATTTTCTGTGGTTGGAATTTTTGTATCGTTAACGTGAGGAATCCAATCTCATGCATTTTTAACATCCTGTCATGTGACTGAATGCGAGCATCGAAAGATATTCAAACCATTTGTGGAATGAGAAAGATTACTATAAATAAAATGCAGACTCATTCTTAACATTTTCTACCACTTTGCACATTAGATAATTTATTCATTAAATAATTTTAATCTATATTAATTAACGTTGGATGCATCAAAGAGGGTAAGTCAAATTTACAACAGGAAATATTTAAAACATTTATAATTAATTGATAAAATTGTTTCATAATTATAGTACACATTCAAACTACATGAAGCGAGATATTTCTTGTAATTAATATAAACATAAAAATATGATTTGCATATAATTATTATTTACACATAACTAGAGCTGTGTAAAATGAATGAGACATTGGAAAATATAATTTTAATTCAACAAACTCAGTCTCGTAATTTCTAAAGCAAAATAAAATTATTTTCAAAATTTTTCTTACGCCTTCCTTCTCCTTGTAGTCCTTCAGTTGGTTGGTCGCTTGGTCACGTCCTGCCATTTTTCCGTGCTATCTCAGTACTCAAGTGAATGCTCGACAATTCTGCAAACCAGCTTTGAGCCGTCAGTCCTCTGGAAGGGCACCTTCACCTTTTTGGAGGCAGGATTGATGTTGAGAGAAGGAGAAAAGTCACTGCAAAAGAGAAAAAGATCTCAAGAGAAATGAAAACCGGTACCGGTTTACAAATTTTAAACAAATCGGTATTTTTAATTTAATATTAGGAAATTTTATAAGAGGCAAAACTGAATAAATTACTTAAAAATATTATAAAATGAACAAAAAAATGAGAAACGTTGAATAAATATAAATATGAACGATAAGGTTGGATAAATATTTGCAATGAACTTTTTCAACTGAAAAATACCGGTTTTGCATACAAAATTGATTTACAAAATAAAAACACGACGGTCTGGTGGCGCCATCAGTGTTGCTGGCAAAAAAACAGGTGCACGTACTGCGTATTTGCGTGCGCCGAGCGGACGATTCCATTTCCCCCGGCCGGGCTGGTGGCTGCTGTGCGGGCTTGCATTGAACGGGATAGAGCTACATATTATTTGCTGCTGCTGTTTAGTGTATTTTGCGGGCGCAGTGTGCACTACCAGTGCAGAGGCAGCAAGGTGCATTTAAAGGGCTTTCGACCTGCCGCGGATCGAGTCCTGAAACGAGCTCACAATGAGGCTGCTCTGCTGGGCCGTGGTTTTGACCGCCCTGCTCGTCGTTTCGGCCGACGCCAAGAGGAAAAGGAAATTTGAGGGCGACTTTGAGTTTGCAGAGGAGGTAGGCAACCCAAACTCTCTCTTTAGTCTTCGCACCAGAGCGCGGGTGCGCCCTCGCGCGCGATCGGGAATATCTGCCAAATTTGACCTCCTTTCGGCATTCTGACCTTCGGCACCAACCTAATTCGAGTGCCTAATTATTCGACACGGAGCCCTTTGTACGCAGGACTTGCGCAAAAGGGTTTAAATGTGTCAGCAAGAAAATGATTTAATATACTACAAAAACAAAATCTCGGGGATGAATAAATTTTTTTGCAAAAATTAATTTCCCATCTTTATAATTTTTACATACGTAATTCAAATTTCATTGTTTTATAAAAATCTGCATACATTCATAATATCTTGTCTCCATCTTTTGCGTGGCGTGCAAATAAAAAGAGTGCGCTCTATCGATTTTTGCTTGATTAAGCAGAAAAGGGGCACTTGGCCTGCCGTGCGAGTTGAATGAAAAGAACCCCTTCACGCAGTGTCTGATTGAGATAATTGTTGCAGGACGAGTCAAAGAGCACCAAGAAGGGCGACAAGAAGCGTTGGATTCACGACCCAAAAAGTGAGCAAAGCTGCCTGGCTTTAGACTTGTTTTGTTTGACCTTGGTGGTCTATCTTTTTTTTCGCAGGTGACTTATGCGGTCCTTTGAACTGCAAGAAGAAGGAGCTCTGTCTGCTCGAAGACGCATTCACGGCAGCTTGCGTTAACAAGAAGGAACTCCAAAGAAATGGGTATGTTTGTGAATGAAAAAAATTCAACCTTTTTCTGACAAGGGCTTGTTATATTAAGGGATATCGTCATCCCTAAGAGCGCATACAAAGATGATTTCAAAGTGAACCCGACATCCGAGTCGACCAACGAGGGAGACGACGATGTTTTTTATGACAGCGAGGACGATGACTCGGATGACGAGGACGACTTCGAACCTGAGACGTGAGTGTTGCATTAAAATTTAATATATGTTGACGAGAAAGTTGAGAATTTTAATATGAAATTCCTTCTGTAAATAAAATTTTATTTTGATTTTTAATTTAAATAATGTTTTGAATTTGAAATTTTTGAGACCAATTTGGAATAACACATAGTAAATAATTTTTGTATTATTAAAAATTACAATTTTGCGCATGTTTTAAAGTCAGCTTTACAGAATAGAAAATATTTTTCTTCTATAATTAATACCCCTATTGTTTGATCTACACAATGTCAATCTTTTATTATTTGAAATTTGTAAAGATAAAAAAAAATGCTTCTTATGCTACCCTCCTTCACGGAATGATACTGATAGTATTTCATGGTTTTGTTGCAGACGTTGCAAACCGTGTCCGATCGTGAAGCCCTCGTTCCACTGTGGAGCCGACAATCGCACCTACAGCTCTCTCTGCAGACTCGACTACCATAACTGCATCCACAAGACGAGCATCCGAGTTGCTTGCAAGGGTTTCTGTCCGTGCAGCAAGACGCCGGAAGACCCGCACCGCAAACAGAAGGAGGACCGCCTGGCCGCCTACAACGCCAAGCTCAAGGCCACCTTGAAGAAGAGCAACAAGCCCATGTCCTCTTCGTCGTACTCGGACAAATACAACTACATTCCGCAGGATTTCAAGTATGACAACAAACACTACAAGTACATCAAGTACACCAAGTACAGCAACGGTGTCACCAACTCTCCGTACAATGTGGACAAGCACCGCAGCCACAATGAGGTCATTGAGACGAAGAACAAGTTCGGAGCCAAGGGAACACCTAACTGGAACAAAGGTATGAACATTTTAAAGTTACTTAATTCTTTATAGTATTACAAGACCAATTGAAGAAACAGAAATTTTAATTGAATACAATTCTTGATTCAATTCGCTTCGTAGAAAATGTCGAAGATGTGAACTGATGCAAGGTTGAGATTATGTTTGGTCCCCCCCAAATTCAAAGGGAGATTTCTTTGCATTTTTCCTTTGGAAATTAAAATCTAGAATGTCTTTAATATTTGGCCAAAACCTATGCGCTATTTGAATAGTTATATACAATTATTATTTAAGAAAAAGAAGGACAACAACAACATAGTGATGTTTAGTTCCCTTAGGAGTCATTAATTGAAAATAGATATCTAGGAAAATTCTTCACAATTTATTGTTTTTAATTATTTATAAATCAATTTAAAATGTGAGATAAAACAAAGATGCAAAATGTGAAAAGCAACACCTCCTGCAAATAAGTCGCTAAAACGTGGGTTCCGCAAGCTTTAAATTATAACTTATCACACAAATTTGTAAATCATTAAAATTGCTGTTGCCGTGCAATATTTTGCAAAAGTGGGCATTTTTGCTGCTTTGGTAGGTGTATGAAGTGCAGCGCCCGTTTCTGCACTCGCTCCAAATTCACTTCGTTTGGCTTTGTGCACACTGGAGTGGCGCATAGCATGTGCGGCCAGAGAAGAGCGAGGTAGGCAACCCGCTTGACGCAAGGAGTGCGTACATGTTTCAAGCCGCGAAACCGAGAAATAGTAATTTGACTGCTGCTCATTAGTAGGCTACCTCCTGATTCATATAAAATACGTTTCTGCGATAAGGGGTAAAAGAACTTGAATTCAACCACCGGAAATTAAAACAGCACTCAATGAATATTAACGCATGACATGTTTCTGCATTAATTTTAATTTGTATTATCAAGGTTGCATTTTGTCCACCTGGATAATTTCTGCCCACATTTAATATGCTTGGAGTTTTTATTTGTAGATTCAGAGGTGCGCAGGCTTGATATGATTATGATTCACTGGCTTTGCTAGAGGAAAATGGAGCTATTCCAATATATTTTGCATTGGTTGGTTGTGATTCGGTTTTGACTCCAAAGTCTGAGCCAATGCTAGTTTGGACCTGTCAAATTTTAAGGCTGATCTGGAAAAAAATCTCCGCTGGCTCAGGACCAGTGATGGTTTGAATGAACCAACAACCAACCCTGATTTTAGTCTTCTTGTATTCCATTCAAGATGGATCCTAATTCCGTTGTCAGCCATAATATTAATTAAATTTTGAATCAATACAAGAAGTAGATTTATTGCCCATTCAATCTTATTAATGGGTTCAAAATTTTTTCCAGTTATTCCTGAGTGCAGCCCCACTGCCTTGGAGGCTATGGGAAACCGTCTCCTCGACTGGTTCAGCGTTCTGATGGCCGACGCTAAGAAGGACCGCCACACTGGCAAGAGGCGTAAGCTGGTCAAGTCAACTGCTCGCTTCCCAGGCACCTGCAAACCCGAAGTCAGGTGGATGTTTGCCCACCTGGACTCCAACTCTGACGAGCAGCTTTCCGTCACTGAACTATTTGACCTTGAGCATGACAAGAGCGAGCATTGCATCAAACCATTTTTGGACCAGTGCAATGTTGACAAGTATAGAATTTTATTCTTTTTTAAGTTTGTGGATATTCATGCTTGATCATTAGGAATGGATTTGTCTCTCCGAAAGAATGGTGCCGCTGTTTTGAGCGCTCCGAGAGACCCTGCATCGCTTATAAGCAGAGAATTACTCAGGATCTTTTGGGTATGTTTTTATTTGTATTTTGTCATTGAGAGAACTGAATTTAAATTAATTTTCAGGTTCATATGTTCCTGAGTGTGATGCTCTTGGCTTCTACCGTCCAACCCAATGCCACTCGTCCATTGGCACCTGCTGGTGCGTCGACAAACACGGTGTTGAATTTGCCAACACCAGAACTCGTGGCAAACCCGATTGTGGTTAGTTGATTTTTCAGTTATAAAATTTCATATTTTTCATGTGGATTCCTTTTCAGTTTCAATCATGGCCAAAAATAATAGCAATGGAGGATCTGATGACTCCGATCAGGAGGATTACGGTGATGACCTCGAAGAGGAGGGTAGCGCTGAGAAACCTCTTGACTTCTAAACCACCTCTCCTGCTCACGTAACGATTGATCTGATAAATTCACTATGTAAATGGGTGCTCCACTCCTTTTTTACTTGAATGCGTCACTTTTGGGCCGTGATTTTTGCATTTTTGCGTTTTGAGTAAAATTAACAGGGAATCATTTATCGGAGTGGAGACCAAAAATCTGCTGATCAAAATGAAGTCCACCCATGATGTTTCTTTCAAATTTATATTTAATACTTAGGCCTACTTTTGATGTAATCAATCACTCTTAAAAAATTCAGCTTCTACTCGGACAAGTTAATCACTTCTCCACTGCACGACTGTCTAACTTGTCTTGTAAGGGAAATAGGAGCATTTTCCTGACCACCCTGGTGGTGTGAAGTGTAAAACCTAATTTTATGCTATGCTGCCTTTTTTAAGTGCCGTAAAAAGCACTCTTTACTCTTGTTTATTACCTTTTTTACTTATAGACTTTGTTGGGGAAACTATTAACATTCCTTGTTTTTAAAATTGACATTCCTAAATATTTTTTAATGACTGCAAATTCTTTATGCCATATTTTAATGTGTATGTTGTTAGTTAACTGAAACCTATTATTCCTCGTTGTAACAAAATAGTATAATAGGGTGATATAGAGTTTATTTGCATAGTACAACAAACAGCTACTTTAGTTTGCATACAAAAGCATTTGTAGCGCACACTCGTTCATGCTTTCTGAGTTGCGAAGTGCAACATGGAGATTATATTCTGTCCGAGGGTGTTCCTCGCGCACTTACTTTCAAATTCAGGCTGCTACCTGAAACTCGCACTTGTTTCACTGCAAATGCTTTTGCTGCAGCATTAAATTTTTGGGTTATGTAACTCAATTATTTTATGATATATGGAACTTGATACTTAAACTGAATGCTGCTATAATTCAATGGTTAGCAATGAGGTGCAATGTTAGATCTGATTTTTTTCAAACGCGTGCTCACAGGTTTTACATTTTACATGTTTCGGGCATCCACCAAGCAAACACCGGTATTGAATATTAAATTAGCAAAACAAAAATATAAGCTGCTGAATGAGATATTGCAAAGGAGGTGAAAGAGCCTTACATTCAATTAATTAAGATACTTAAAGGTCATAGAACTAAGTACGAATGAAAAGGAAATAATCATTTTATACTCAAAAAAATTGAACACACACACTTGAACAAAAATTTAGTAATATGGTACAAGTGTAAGCATTTTGGGTTGGATTTTAGAATTATAAACGATAATATGGTTACTTGCAAGATGTTAATAATTAATGCAAAATGCTTTTATAGCTTTTGATGTGGATGCGCAAGAAAATTTTTATTGTTAGAATGCAGAAAAAGATATCCGGCCTTTGGCGTTGTTGTAAAATAATATGTGTAGCTCACACTCACAACCTTTACAAGTATTTCTGTTTCGTACATTTTTATGATTTTAAATATCTAATCTTCTTAAAGCCTCGCCAAATATAAAAAAAAAATGCAATATAGAGACAGCACGCAATTGTGTGTGACACTGAAATTATATGTCGTAGATTGAATAATACAAATAATATACACTATTATTGAAGCTTTTTTTATTAAAAAAAGTCACTGACTGTAGTAGAGGAGAGAAAAAAACAAATTCATGTCACTTTAAAGAGGGCCCAATATTCTCAAACTTTCAATTTAAAATGAAGCAGCTTTTAGTGCTTTTGGTATTTCCCGTGCACTTTTCTCTTTACTACATGGAGTAAATTCAAAGAAAATAACTTATAACTGTTATACGACTGCAACTTATATAAGAGGTTAATCGGGTATATATATCCTTTCACTACACAACTGCATTTTACATGTTTGGAAGGTGTACTGAAGAACCTCATGTGCAAAGTTAAAACAGCCATCCTTAATTTCTCTTGCAATTAAAAAAAAGTAAAAACCAATGAAATGTCTAAAGAAAACACTATGTACACGAAACACACACACAACATAAGCAGCCACAAAACTAAGAGTGGTTAATATTATTATAATAGGCATTTGTGTATTAAGCAAGAAAAAGCAAACATACTTAACTAGCGCCTCACGCAGCAGTGATTAATGTTATATTTAACTTGTAAATTAATTACTTTGCATCAGTATTTTAGTTTATATTGATATTGATTAACTCTGTACCACTAAAGATACGGCTTAAATGGATTTAATTGTATTGTGTAACGTACATACAAATAAAACTCCAAAATGTTAAATGGTAATTAACACGCAAATCAAGTTCTTCAACCGAAAACCCGACTTGAATAATTATACTTTTAATTTTGTTTTCTGCTAGTATGTATTTTTAGTTCCAGATTTGCAACTCAAAATGTGGCACCCCTGGATTGGAGAACGAACAAGTTGTTTTTATTGTCGATTAAAATTTTGTGGTGCCACTTTAGCAACTTGTTTGTCAAGCGCGCAGAGGAGAGGCCAGTGTGGGGAAGCGCGTGCGGTATGTTAAATATATAGCCCTATTTACAGTGCTATTAAATCGCCTAGATAAGAATTAATATCGTGTTGAGTGTGGACGCAACTATTAAAATATTAATATATTATCTAATCCATAAAGGAAAGATTAAAGTAAGGAAATTTTCCAAATAGCCATTAAATTTAACAATAATGTGTTGTTAGGCTTGGTTTATATTTCAGCCTTCAAAATCTTAATAAAAAAAATACTTGCAAATGAGCTATAAAAAATTAAATCCCTGGAACATTTAAACAATCTTTCAATTTTTTACTTTATTATTTTGATTTAGTTTTGCAGTCTAGTGTTTATTTAATTTTTCATAAAAATCTGACCCATACTTTCTTTATATAGGTCCTCACAATGTCCAGTTTGTCTCGTGAGGCAAGCACCGCCTTAGCAATTGGCTCTGCGGTGACCTTGGCCCTGGCAGCTACTTGGTATCACCAACAAAGCAAGAAGAACCAACCACCCTCAAAGTGGCGACAGGTTGGGCAACTGTCTTCGTTGTGGTGCTATCCCATAAAATCGTGCGCGGTCATCGAACTCAAGGATGCTCTGTGCGCAACGCTTGGGGTCAAAAATGGCCTTATCAGAGACAGGTTAATATTTTTTGCTTTACCAATTCATATCTGTGTCTGTGCAAATAAAATTAATAATGAGGCGTTATTTTTATTTGGAGGGTCTTCATGGTGACTCGAGAGGACTTTGAGTTTAAAACGGCAAGGACGTACCCATCGATGACTTTGGTGAAGCCGAAGATTGATGGGGTGGTGGTGTCTTTAAGTGCTCCTGGAATGCCTGATATCAGTTTTTCAATTGCATCCCTGGCAAAGGAGAAAGCTGCAGCTACGTATGCAATTATTAACAATTTATCTGGAGATTTTTTTTTTTTAATTTGGAAAAAAAATTGTAGTGTTTGGGGCCAGAAAGTTGAGGTTCAGGACTGTGGAGATGAGGTTGCAAAATGGTTTTCACAATACATTTTGAAAGCAGAAACTGGCTGCAGACTTGTTTACTACCCCTCTGATATGTCCACTCGCTCTGTTAAACCGAAGCATAAATCGTACACCAATGTTAGACCAAAGGACGCGGTATATAGAAAAAAACTAATGCTGAAAATTACCAAATCATAAATTTGCTTTTATTTAGGGTGGGTTGAGTGACTTCAACTCCTACATGATCATAAATCAGTCTTCGATTGATGATTTGAACACACGGCTACCTGAAGGCACTGATAAGACCACCGCTCTTCAATTCCGACCAAATTTTGTTGTGAAAGGAAATACTAAAGCTTATGAAGAGGATGACTGGAAATGGATAAAAATCGGAGAAACAATTTTCCAAGTTACAAAGCCTTGCGACAGGTATTGCGAATTGTAAAATTTTTTCATACATATTTTTTACACTCCAATCATTTTTTTAGATGCATCTTCACCACAATTAATCCTCAAACAGGCGAACGAGACCCTGGCATGGAACCTCTGAAAACTTTAAAAACGTGCTTATCTTGTTATTGTTATATCTTTCTTATATATAATAATTGTATTCAATAGATATCGGCAAATCACTGATCCTGCTAGAAGACCTTTTCATGGAGATTCACCAATCATGGGTCAACACATTGCAGTTTACAAGGAGGGCCGTGTTTCCGTTGGTGACGCAGTTTATGTACAAGCTTAAAGTGTTCACACCTTAAGAGGTTTTTTTTATGCTAATTAAATCCAGTGAAATTTTAACATACTTCAAAATTCCATGTGGCTCTTATTTAATTATCCGCAGTTGCCAAGGGTTAATTTTTACAACCTCGAAGAGTCGCTTATTTGTAAAATAACTTATCTAAGTAAGAGGTGTGAAAATGTCGACTTTGTTTTAACTTGTAGAGGAGAATGAGTTTTTGTTTGAGTTGCTGATTAAATATATAGTGGTGCCACTTTTGCGACTTGTGCAAGTTGTCCCACAGATTAGTAGACGAGGCCTGCTATTGGAGAGCGTAATAAACGGTAAATTATTATTATCCCCTCCTTTAATTTTCGTGATCAGTTTAGATAAGAATCACAAAGAGTAGTATATAGTACATAATGTCTGTTGAGTCAATTCGAGATATAGTGGTGGTCTGATGATGTTATCATAATATTGCAGTCCGGCAACTCACATACTCAAAAAATATACCACTAGTTAGTAGCTGTCAGCCTACTGCGGTAAAGGAAGTGACTTATAATTTTGGAAAACCAATACAATTATTAATAATAATTTTAAAATACATCAGACTTGGAAATTTTTAACTTTTACAAAGGTATAGGCACTGGTCTGAATATACAAGACTTGCTGATTGTGAGACATATGTAATTTTTCTTTATCTCAAACCGTCCTTAAAAAAAGAAACGTTAAAAATATTTAATGCATAATTGGTTTAAAATTTTAATTGCTGTGTTAATAATTTTAGAATTGATTTTTTCCTTCAAAATGTCAACGCTATCTCGTGAGGCGAGCACCGCCTTAGCAATAGGCTCTGCGGTGGCTTTAGCCCTGGCAGCTAATTGGTATCACCAACGGAGCAAAAAAAATCAACCACCTTCAAAGTGGAGACAGGTCGGAAAACTTTCTTCATTATGGTGCTATCCCATAAAATCGTGTGGAGTCATCGAGCTCAAGGACGCTTTTTGCGCCACTCTTGGAGTGAAAAATGGTCTTATTCGAGACAGGTTAAAACAATTTTACAGAAAGTATTATTTATTTTAATTTTTTCTGCAGAGTCTTTATGGTGACAGGAGAGGATCTTGACTTTAAAACTGCAAGGACGTATCCCAAAATTACATTGGTGAAGCCAAAAATTGACGGGGTTGTCGTCACTTTGAGTGCCCCCGAGATGCCTAACATAAGTTTTTCCATTGCATCTTTAGACCAGAAAAAAATGACAGCCAGGTCGCATTTCAAATTATATGCTAAATTAAAAGTAAAATAAATTTCCCCTTTTTTATGTTTTACAGTGTTTGGGGTCTGAAAGTTCAAGTTCATGATTGCGGAGATGAAGTTGCCAAGTGGTTTTCGCAATATTTGTTGAAAACAGACTCTGGCTGCAGGCTTGTTTATTACCCCTTTGAGGAATCCACTAAAAATATTCGACCAAAGCATAAACCTTTCAGAAATGCCAAGCCTAAGGATTCGGTAATTTTTCTCCTTAATCCAATTTATTAAAGATAAATCTGCCAAAATGATTCATTACAAAGGGCGGACTTACCGACTTCAACTCATACATGATTATTAATCAAACATCAATTGATGACTTAAATAATCGGCTTCCTGACGGAACAGCAAAATGTACTTCCCTACACTTCAGGCCAAATTTTGTAGTACAAGGGGACGCAAAAGCTTATGAAGAAGATGACTGGAAGTGGATTAAAATCGGGGAGACAATTTTTGAAGTGACTAAACCTTGTGACAGGTAGAAATACTAGAAATTAATGTTAATGTATTTTTTTGTTTTAATGCATATTTTAATTTCTAAGGTGTCTATTTACCATCATTGATCCTCTAACCGGTGAAAGAGATCCTGACATGGAGCCTCTTAAAACTTTAAAAACGTAATTTGTAATTTATTCATCAAATTTTCTTCTCTTTTATTTTTCTCTATTTATTTTTTTCTTGCAGCTATCGGCAAGTGACTGATCCAGCTAAAAGGCCTAATCACGGAGAATCGCCAATCTTGGGTCAACACATCGCTGTTTACAAGGAAGGCCCTGTTTGCATTGGAGATTCTGTATATGTCCAAGCCTAAATATCCTAAATATAGCGGAGCTGCGTCTAAATTGTTCTCTCGTAGAATTGCTTTTTTAGCAGAGACAATAAAATAAAATAAATTGATAAATTAAAATTATACATAATTGAATTTACTAACTCACTCATAAATTTAAATTTCATTCAAATTTGAGTTGACAAATTTACCAGATTTTGGCGATTTTGCCTTTCTGTGAATTGGATCAATTTTTCTCAAAACCGCCAAATTCGTCAAAAATTGTGCCATGCATTCTGATTGGTCAACAAGTTACTATGCGCCAGCAGTACGACTGGATTGCACACAGGAGCTATGAACGTATATTTTAATGCCTCGTCTTTTTGTCTTAAAATTTTTATTTTTCATTTTTATCAATTTAAAAAAAAAAAAAAAAAATATGTTAGACATTTTATAAAAGTGAAAAAACAAAATATGAAAAATAAATCGAAAAGTACTTCACGAAATCTAGTACTTCTTATTGTACATTCCATTCACATATTACTCACCAGCAGCTGATTGCGAAGGGCGCAAAACAAAGACCTCCAAGTGAACGTCGTCAACGAATGTCCTGTCCAAAATGATCGGTAGCGACGTGCAGGCGCTGTCCAGCCTGCTGAGGGCACACGGAGACAAGATCCTGAGCGGTGGGCAGCGTCTGACGCTGACGGCGGCGCTCGCACAGAAGCTGAGCGCTGCGTTCTGCTTGATCACCTCGTCCGCGGAACAGCAGAACAACGACTCGCTGTCCTTCCAAGTGGTCACCCACTCTTCCAGCAACGCGCGTCTGCACGACCTTCACTTTTTGCACGACTTTGTGCAGAGAGTGGAGGCCCTCAAGTTGACCCACGGATCGGACACTTTGCAGGGCAATCTAGACCTTGCCAAATTTCGCAACCTAAAGTGAGTAGTGCTGTAAAAGTACATTATGTACATAAATAAATTTTAAGTAGGGGGTTTCTTTTTGTGTGCATTGTATTTATATACCTAGTTGTGTCGAGCCAGCTTAAATTTTTAGAATCTTTTACAATAATTAAATCTTCATTTCACGTGTGTTCTTAAAATTCTCTTGAAATTGAATTATAAAATAAAATCAATTCCAGGCACCTGGAGCTGGAAAAGGTCCCTCTCCACATGGTATCTGGACTTTCCATTCTGCAGCCAAGACTGGTCTTTGTGAGCGTTTCAAAAAGTATCAGTCATATCGAAGATTTGCTGGGACATAAAGAGTGGCCAGACCTGCACCGCCTTTCACTGCCGCATAACACCCTTAGTGCCTTGGATGCATCCTTTGCTTGGGCAACTTCGCTCAAAGTAAGTTAAATAAATGATTAAAATCTGCAAAGTATGGTTTTATTTATTTATTTATAATTAGGAAGTTGATCTTCGCCACAATGTGATAACCAAAACAGACGGGTTGGAGCTTTTGCCAAATCTTGTCGTCTTGGATCTCAGCTACAATCACCTTTCTGCTGTTCCCAAGCTGCACAAAAACACAAGCAGAACTCTGAAACATTTTGCCATAGCACACAACAATCTCGAGCAGCTCAACGGTGCAATTTCACTTCGTAAATTTAAACAATTCACAATAAAACTCTTTATATTTAGGTCTTGAGCAAATGTACAGCTTAGAAGTTTTTCACTGCGGCTGGAACTGTTTGGTCGAAACCCACGTTTTGGCCTCCACCTCCAAGCTTCCACGTCTGAAGAAGCTCTGGATGAGTGGTAATCCTTTGATGAGAGCGGGTCAATGTCGAGAGAGGATTGCTCGAAGACTGCACCCTTGCATCATTCCAGTTGCTGACGTAAATTTTATAGATTTAATGTTTTCACATTTAATATTCTTGTTTTTTTTCTTAGTTCTTTTTGTTGGACGGCAAAGTTCTGAGTGAGCAGGAGCGCCGATGGATTGGCGCTGCATGTATTGACATCAACCTTTCGCCACCTGCAACTGCTCTGGATTCTGGAGAGGCCAGTTCGAGCAGTTTGAGCCAGTCCGTCAGCAGAAAGCCTGCTAAAGTGAGAGAAGTGGTCATTGCTGACATTGACGAAGCTCCAGTTTCTCCGAACAACACGTCATTCACTTCAACTAATGCTAGTATAGGTTTGTAATTAAATTTTAACTGTCTCAAATACTTATTTATTTTTTGACAGATACGGTTGTCGAGACCAAAAAACAAATAGAATCGTTAAGAGAAAAGCTGGGCGAGTCTTGGTTGGGAGGTGTTACTGGGGTGTTAGGCTTACCCTCTGATCAGAATGAAAGTGGAAATGTGGAGGAGAGGTTTGAGGCCGAGGCGTGGCTCGACAGCCAACAAAAGCCAAGCAGCAGTTATAACGTTCAAATTGAGAATATTGCAGCAGACAATCAAATTGAGGAAGAGCCAGGGGAAAATCAATCAAGCGCAGAGCAAGTAAGATAATTTTTTTCCTGATCAGAAAATTTAAATTGATTGATTTTTTTTATTCTTCTTTTAAGGATAATTCCTTCCAGCTACATGGAGAAGCTAGTTTTGTAACCGTTGAATGTGATCCTTTTTTGAGTGAGTCGATGTTGGAACCTACTTCAAGTGCCCTTCCGATCGATTCAGGAACCGAACACCTAAATGATTCTGATGAGGACGAAGGTATGTACACCTGTAAAATTCATTTTTAATATAACTTACCGTTTGTATCATCATTATAGATGAGTCGGGTGACGAAGCACCGTTTTTGGTCCAACGAGAAATACAGATTTCACAGAAAAACACAATAGTCAAGGACTACTTTGTCATCATTGGCACAAGGTAATTTTAAATTTTATTTGGCAAACAAATATTAATTTTAATACTATTTAGCAAAATTGTCGAAAGAGAAGCTAGTGGTAAAATTTCTGCCCAGTGGCCACTGGACTGTTTGGTCAGCTGTGAACATAGGAGCGCAACAAACGTGTTCTTGACTTTTGACACTATTCGCCGAGATAAACAAAACAGGGATTTTCTTTTGGAAGCTGACGATGCCCTGGTGAGTTGTTGATTTTCAAAATCAATCAATTTCAACATCTAATACACTTCTTTAATCGACAAACTAGGAGCTGGTCAAAGTTTTAAACTCGATTTTAGAGGCACGATCTCTTGGGGAGATGAACCAGGCTGTGTTCAGGTGTATGAGGTGCTCAACTCACTTCTCAAGCGAAATCTCTGGTTAGGGTCAAAATGACATGATTTATAATTTTCCTAATAAACATTCCATAGACTTAAATAGTACGGTTGGTCGCTGTCCAAGTTGCAACAGTGCAGTTGTTGTGCAAGAAGACGTGATGACCAGATCCTCCGCCCAACCTAAGCAACCTGTGATCCACGAACTTCCAACAGAGCATCGTTTCAACCCAATCCACCAAAAGAAAAGTTAGCAAATGTTTATATTATCATCCAACTTTCCATATTTTCAATTTTCATTCTCGTCTACATGGCAAGTTTTTGCACATCACGTTTCAGGCTCAATCGGTTCCCTTCTTGATCAATCCATGTCTGATTCTGGCCTAGGACTGATAGCAGGCCAATCAAGGCACCATGAGGGTAACGACTCTGACATTGAGGTGCTGAGCAACCCCAGCCAGAGCAGCATTGAGATCATTCCACCCTCGGAAGAGTCACACAGGTAGGACACAGGCACTTTTTTTAGAGCTGTTTACTATCAGTATCTGGGTCTGTCTCAGTAGTTAGTTGTAGTTAGTGCCTTTTTATGAAATAAGTTGCGTCAAAAATATTTTATTTTTTATTTTTACCGTTAAAATTTGTGCGTTTTTGTTTGCTTTTTTTTCAAATGACAATTATTTGTACATTCTGAGCGATTGTTCTCAAAATGTTTCAGTCGCGAGGAGAGTGCGGCTCCAACCTCGTCTGTCGAATCTCGTGTAATCTCAATCAATATTTCCTCACACTCCCCTCCAATTGCGACAAACTCATCCTCTTCGTAATAAGAAAACACCAACTTGGCTACTAGGCTAGAGATAAACTGATGTTCGATTATTTTATTTGCGACAGACAAAATAAGCCAGCGGGGTCAATTGTTGGCCTCTTTATAGAAGTTGAGCATGAAGTCGGCAAGCGCCTGCGCATCTTCAACGCCAACCGCGTTGTACAACGAGGCTCGGATTCCGCCCACAGACCTGATAAATCAAGATCAATTTTAATATAATATAGAATTATTAGTATTTACAACAATTACAAATTACAACCCATGAGGATTTTAGCAAATAAACCTATTTTCCTTGTAAATTTTAAAAACAAAAATTCATTTCAAATTACACAAAAAAAATATAAAATTAGTTTTATAATTAAAAATCGTGGCATAAGTAATAATTTAAATAAATAGTTTAGTTCAAAATTAAAATAATGAATCTAGAAAAAGGAAAGATTACAATGCGACTAATATATTAATCATGTGAAGAAATTCTGGATTTATAATTTTCAAACAATCAATTTTTTACTGGAATTAATAACTATTCACTTTTACCTGTGGCCTTTGAGCTGGATCATTCCTTTGACTTGTGCCTGAGCCAAAAACTTTTCCTCCAGTTCCGTCTGCTTTTCGGGCGTGGACGCCTCAATGCGGAAAGGGATGTTAATTCGACTGCGGCTCTCACTTTGCACCGGGCAAGAGTAGAACCCCTTAGAAGCGATCATGGCGTTGTAAATTGCTTCGGACTTGATTTTCGACCTCTGATGCATTTCCTTCAGTCCGCCCTGACGCTTGATCCAATCAAAAACAAGATCCATAACATAAACCCTGAAAATAAACTCTTCAAAAAAAAACACTCCAATTACAATTTTGATGGCTTACGAAAAAACGGGAGGCGTGTTGTGCAGAGAATTGTCCCTGGCCATGATGGAATAGTTAAGGACAGTGGGACAAACGGGCAGCGCGTTGCCTAAGAGGTCCTCGCGGACAATCACTACGGTGACACCAGCAGGGCCGATATTTTTCTGAGCTCCGGCAAAAATCGCTCCAAACTGAAATCAAGTTAAATTCAATAAACTTAAAAAAAAATTAAAATAAAAACCTTTGTAAAGTCAATCGGCCTGGTCAGAAAATTCGACGACATGTCCGCAACAAGGGGCACTCCTTTTGTCTCTGGAGGCTCCGGAAATTCAACGCCTAATTTTAAATTGTTTTGTTTATTGTTAAAATACCAATATTGAATTGGAATTTACCGTAGACAGTTTCATTGTCGCAATAGTAGACGTAAGAAGCGTCCGGGCTGAACTTCCACTGATCTCTAGGTGGATGACCAACAAACCTTTTGCTCTCAGGAAGGACGTAGTTGACCTGGCCATACTGTTCAGCTTCCTTTGCTGCTAACCTCGACCAATTTCCTACAAATTAAAAATTAATTTTTTTCAAAGAGAAAATTTTATTTTTGCTCGCCTGTAACAATGTAGTCCGCTTTGCCAGTTTTCCCAATCAAATTTAAAGGAATGGAAGCAAACTGACCAGTTCCGCCTCCTTGCAAAAACAAGATTTTGAAATTTTCAGGGATGCTCCTAAAGAAAGAAAAAAAAAATTAAATTTTATTGCAACAAATGCTGAGTGTCATTATATACAGCAGATCGCGGATTTTGCGCTGAGCACCGTCGTTGATATTCGAGTAGACTTTAGAGCGGTGGCTCGTTTCCAAAATGCTGATGCCTTCGCCGTGGTAATCAAGCAGCTCGCCTTGAACTTGCTTCAGTACCTGGAATCCAATTTAAACTGCCGTCAGCGAAATAACCTTATATTAAAATTCCGATTGGCATCTAGGACTCGATTTAATTATTAAATTATCATCACGTTGGAAAACAAGAGACGGCGTCCCTTCAAATTAATTTCCCTCTATTGAAACAAAACAAAAAATCGTTTCTATTTATGCCCATGAGGTAAGTGGGATAATATGCCAAATAAAATCAAATATACAGAAAAAGATCAATCAATCGATCAAGCAGCAAAATAAATACAAAATTTGGGAAATTAACATTGAAATATAATTTTTTGTTATAAAGTTAAAAGATTTAACCTCTTGCGGCAATTTTGCCGGTCCGGCTCCGAAGTTCAAAATTTTCTTCTCCGTCATAGCGATGGGAAATCGAGAATGGGAAAACGCACTACTTGTTGCTTCTCTTGCTGCAAGCAATTTGTTATTCTTCTTCCTCTCGTGACGCGTGACGCAATTGCTTGAGAAATATAAATACACCGTGCATTACATGCACCGTCCGTCCTATCGGCGTATTACAGCTCGTCGAATAATAAAAAAATAAAAATCTCCTACTGGCACAGCAGAGGAGCCAAAGACATGGAATGACCTCGACGCGCCCCACAGGGTCACGTGACCAAACGGCCCAGTGTGGTAATCCTTATGTTAACGCGCGGAATGGAAAAAAAAAAGGGAAAAAAGTGCTGACCAAGGCAATCTCTATGTATAAAAAAACATTCTGGGCTCCAATTCTGTAAGAAGAATTTTAAATTCTATCTCGGCCCTACGGTATTATTCCCCTGCCCTTTTTTATTTCTTGATTAGCTATCAACAGCTCTGAAAATTATAATTCTGCCGACATCTGTGATTAATCTCGTGTACTGAAAATTATGCTAGAAAAATAATTTGTAGAGAAAACATAAATAATTTAAAATAGTTAAAAAAAATTTGCAAAATTATTTTTGATTTCCTTCCAACAATAAATTTTAGCAAGATTTTTATTTAAAATTTCTTATAAAAATATTAATAGATCGTCCATCTTTTATAAACTTTATTATTTTATTTCAACTGAATATTGCAAATAAGGTTATCAGGGTCTGATAGCAATTCCAGTGTTGGTTGAAATCCAGTTGAGGAAACTGGTCACTCGGGCGTAACCTGAAGGGTTTCCAGAAGCGCAACCTGTGGAGGAAACAAAGGAAACTACGCCCAATTGCGTCTTTGCACCATCTGCCTCGGTGTAGACAAGAGGGCCGCCGGAATCACCCTAAAATAATTAATAATAAAAAAAACATCACTCTCGGTCGCATAGGATTTTAGTGATAATTACGTTGCAAGTGGAGAGTCCACCCGCTCCTGAGCAGCAAAGGGTGGATGAAATTACCACACTGGAGCCGTAGATCGATGCACATTGCGAGTTGGAAATAATTGGGAGGGAAACATAACGCAAAACATCGCTGATGCTTGAGGTGGCTAGTGAGAAATTAGTAAATTAGATATATTTCATTTCATATAAGAAAATCAAGTTGGTTTTATTGCTGTTAAAATCTCTTGATTTTAAAATACTTTTTGCAAATTTAAAATTATATGATTATTGAATTTATTAAGTATAAAAAGGCTTACTGTCTGAAGGGCGTCCCCATCCACTCACAGTTGCCGAAGTTCCCGAGAAAGTATTTGACGCGTCCGACAGTCTGGGAAGGCGAACCACCGAAATGTAGCCTGAAAATGAATCAAATTAGATTTAAAAACCGATGAAAAACGTTTAATTTAAAATTAATCACTCGACAGGGTGACAGCTGATGGGAGGGTTAAAATAGCAATATCATTGTTGAGCACGGTATCGTCGTAGTTGGGGTGTTTAATTGATGAGGTTGTCGTAAATTCCACGCGACCGTTTTCACTCGTAGCTGAAACGTTCTGCGCGCCGAGAATGACCTAAGACAACAAAATAAAAATTTTTGAATTTAATTTTTTATCATCACAAACCCTGTAAGAAGTTCCTAGGCCTCCTGGAGCGCAATGGGCGGCAGTCAGGATATGCGTGGTTGAAATGAGGGATCCCCCGCAGAAGGAGGCACCATTGATGATTATGGCCGCCTGCCAGGGAAACTGGCCTCTGACCGCCAACGCTCCGTTCACAATGCGGCCGTCCTCTTTAACGTCGACAAAAACTTTTCCAGCGAAATTTGGCTGGGGTTGCCTCATCATCCTAAAATTAAGTTAAAGAAAACATTTTTATTTTGGACGATTGTTATTTTTAGTTTTTTAGGTATTCAAACTCTACTTTTTTTATATTATTTGTAATTAAAGTCCTTATTTATTAATTTCTTACATTTTTCATTTAATTATTTGATTAATACACATTTTAATTTAATTTTATCAAATGTATTAAGAAGAGGCTTCTGCTGAAAAACTGCATGATTTAATTTAATCCAATTTTTTATACGTTAGAATAATATAGTTTTTAGCCAAGAAAAATTGAACGAACTATGGGAACTGAATATAATTGTTCAAAAATTAATATTTTTTCTTATGGAAATTTTCTAAACTAATTTTTTTCTCAAAATTTTCCGATATATTTGAAAAAAAATATCAAACTAGGTTCGTATCGTCCCAATTAACTTCAAACAAAATAAAACGAAGAAGTCTCGACTTAAAAATTTGCATTGATCTCATGGGAAACGTTTCAGTAAATTTTTTTTTTTTAGTGAAGATACCGTAAGCTCCTTCTTAATTCTACGAGATATCATCAATCTTTAAATCTCACCTGTCCACGATGGGTGCGTCAGCTCTGGGCCTCATGTTTTCCATAACCTGTTCCCACTCGCTAACGGTGAATTTTTCCGGCTCATCAAGGGGCTTCACAAATCGCGTCTCAGGTTGAAGTTGACGAATGTCGAGGGCCAAAGCCCCTGCCAGAAGGCAAACAGCAATACAGAGTAGTGTTCTCATTGTGCAGACCAAGACGTTTTGCACCTACTGATTCGCGTTACACGTTGGTATTTATAAGGATCAGGTGTTTCTTATCTGTGATTAAAGCAAATTATGATTAATGAGGTAAAATCGATAACAAATTTGACTCACCTCATACGTTTGTTTTCGCGGTATTGTTTGCTGATGCTAAAATTTGTAATCGTAGTTAAAATAGTGAAATTCAAACCATCATCAGTCCTTGGCATATTGAAAGTATTGCCCAATTTATAAAATTTTTAACTGGCGGTCTCTAAATAATTCGTCTTTCTTTTTGTTTTCTATTAGTTAAATTCAGAATCCTAAATTAACTTTAAAACTAACGTTCGAGACGTAATAAGTGTTTCTGATTGTGAGAAACAATTCATTAATAAAAATACAATATGTTTGCATAAATTTTAAAATTTATTCATTTGAACATTGCGATTATAGTTATCAAGGCCTGATAACAATTCCAGTGTTGGTTGAAATCCAGTTGAGGAAACTGGTCACTCGGGCGTAACCCGAAGGGTTTCCAGAAGCGCAACCTGTGGAGGAAACAAAGGAAACTACGCCCAATTGCGTTTTTACACCATCTGCCTCGGTGTAAACTAGAGGACCTCCTGAATCACCCTTTAAAATTTAAAAAAGAATCAGTCTCGGTTGAATAAAATATAAATTATTTTACTTACGTTGCAAGTGGAGAGTCCACCCGCTCCTGAGCAGCAAAGGGTTGAGGAAATCACCACACTGGTGCCGTAAATTGTTGCACATTGCGTGTTGGCAATAATTGGGAGGGAAACGTAACGCAAAACATCGGTGATGCTGGTGGTGGCTAGTGAGAAAAAAAAATTACTTATTTTGGCCTAAAATAATTTAATTGCTTCTGTGCATTTAAAATCTCTTGATTTTAAAATAAATTAATTACTATTGCATTGATTGAGAATAATTAAATATAAAATATTGGCCTACCATCTGAAATTTTTCCCCATCCACTCACAGTGGCTGATGTTCCCAAGAATGTGTTTGACGCGTCCGAGAGTCTGGGAAGGCGAATGACGGAAATGTAAGCTGAAAAAGAATCGAATTTAATAATCCTCCTTTACACTGGGTACAAAAATTGAAAATTAAGAAGAAATTACTTGATAGGGTGACGGCTGATGGAAGGGTCAGAATGGCAAGATCGTTGTTGAGCACGGTCGGGTTGTAGCTCGGGTGAACAAGTTTAACGGTCGTCGTAAATTCTACTCGGCCAACTTCAATCCCAACTGAAACGTTTTGCGCGCCAAGAATAACCTACGAACGACAAATTTAGACAATTCAAATTTAATTTGCTTGCAAAAAAGTACCCTGTAAGAAGTGCCCTGAGCGCAATGGGCGGCGGTCAGGATTCGGGTGGTTGAAATGAGGGATCCTCCGCAGAAGGAGGCACCATCGATGACTATGGCCGCCTGCCAGGGAAACTGGCCTTTGGTCGCCACGGCTCCATTCACAATACGTCCGTCCTCTTTAACATCGACAAAAACTTTACCAGCGCAATCTGGCTGGGGCTGCCTCATCTTCCTAAAGTTAATAATTTAATTGAGAATTTTTTAAAGACTGATTTGAATATAATTTTCTAGAACCTAAATAATTTTTTTACTTGTACTTACATGCATTATATTCAAATTAATTTATTTAATAGATTTAAATTTTTTTAAATTTCATTTAATCAACAAACTCAAATGATCAAATTTTTATTCTCACCTGTCCACAATGGGTGCATCAGCCCTGGGCTTCATGTTTTCCATAACCTGTTGCCACTCGCTCAGGGTGAACTTCTCTGGACCATCAAGAGGCTTCATGAACCGAGTCTCGGGTCGGAGGTGGCGCATGTCGAGGGCCAAAGCCCCTGCCATTAGGCAAACAGCAATACAAAGCAATATTCTCATTATGTAGATCAAGAAGTTTTGCACCTACTAATTTGCTTTGCGCTTCGTTATTTATAAAGATCGGGTGTTTCTTATCTATATTTAAACCAAGTTATGATTGCTAAGACATGATCGAGAACAAATTTGACTCACCTCATACGTTTGTTTTTGCGATATTGTTTGCTGAGATGCAAAAATTTGTAATCGTAGTAAAATAGTCGAAGTCAAACCACTTAAACCCTCTTGAAATTCTATTTTCTCCATGATTAGAATTTTCTCGAAGCGGATAAGTGGCGCTTCAAAACTGCCTTAAATTATTTCAATCTCTTGGTAATTTTCTCATGTTTCGAACTATGACATTGGCTTGACCTTGTCTGCTTTAGTTTAGATAGAATTTTGCTGATTTACGCGCGTTTTACAAATAATTTGGTACTTTGCTCAGATTTTTTCCCCCATTAAACAGACTTTCATTTATTTCATCCCAATCAGCAATTTTGGCTGAATTAAGAAATTTAAAATTATTTATTAAGTGTTTTTCAGTCACTGAAAAGAATGATTGAATTCATTTCGAAAAATAACCATAAATAATAAATTTTAATTTGTAAAGGATCAAAGCACATAAATGAAACAATTTTTCAATAACTTTTCAAAATAAATGTAATTCAAGCAAAAATTAAATTTTTGCACTTCAAATTAATTTGCTGATGAGATCGATTAAAAATTCCAATTTTTACGAATTAGTTTCGAACGGCGAGGGAAGTTTTTTCCGAAAGCCAGGCGAGCAGTCCCGTCACCCTGACAAAGACGAGTGGGTCGCCCGATTCGCAGTTTCCGTCGCTGCGAAAGTGCGTCAGCCCAATGAGGCTCCACGTGTTTTCGGAGTCGCGGTAGGCGAGAGGGCTGCCGTCGTTGGCCTGTGACAAAGTTCATTGAAATATCCAGCGATAAACCCGGCTGTATTCAATGTCAAGGCCTTCCTGCTATTTTCGAATTTATCTTGACGACCCTTCGCTTTTCGCGTCGGAGCTCGTGCGCGACTTCGTAATATTTTTTATTATGATGAAGTTAATTAATTGAAAAATTATATTTTTGATTTACAAATTTTTGTAATGAAATAAAGTTTTTTTTTTATAATTTTCTGGTTAAATTGGTGATTGGTAAAAATCCTCCTTTTTAATTATTAATATTATTTTTGAAATCATTTTTTCCCCTTTTTTTCTTGAGAGTTTTGGAATTTGGATAAAATTATTTCATAACTTACAAAACAAGTATTAACTTGTGACAAAGTGCACAAGTGCTGGAAGTTTACAGAGGTCCCAAAGAATTTGTAGCAGTCGCCTATTTCCATAACCGTCACATTCGCCCTTGTCAGCAATGCGTTGGCTTGTTTTCCTGAATATTTAAAAAAATTCTAATTAAATCGATTGAAATATTACGAGTGAAAAAAGCGACACGTTCATGAACTTAAAATCTCTAAACTCAATAAGTTCTAAGTCCTGTTTTATGTTTTAAGAAATATTATTATAACTGAAAAAATTTTGATTGTACAAAAAATTGTGAAATTACTACACCATCATTTGTAAATCCCCATCCAGTGAGGTAGGCCCTCTCCTTCGTGAACGTCTTAATTGCGTCTGACCTCTTTGGCAACGATATAGGCCTGATGTTATCTGCAACCATTTTAATTAGTGTATTCAGCGTCAATGGATGCTCTGATAGAGTCATTCATTCTCTAGTGGAATTTGTCCCGTAAATCATCAAGGTTTTTTTTATATATCAACTCGGTCTCGACAAACAAGCTGCATTTGAGGTCGCCAATTGCGACACGCAGTTTTTTCCGGTTTATTGAAAAAACAAGACAGTTTTTCTGAGAATTGATTTTGAATTGATTATTACTGCCGTTGGTGGCGATCGGGATGGGCATGGTCAGCAGGGCAATGTTGTTGGCGAATGTGGTCGGCTCGTAATTGCTGTGCACGATTTTCGCGTCGGTCGTCATGAGGATGACGTTTCGTTCGAATTGGTTGCGGTCTATATCACCCAGAGTGATCGTGAAGTTTTCAAAACTGAAACGGAAGTGCGTTGAAATTCGGGCCATTAATCATGAAAACATATACAAGCGACAAAACATGTTGAAAATCTAAACTATAAATATTTCTTTTTAGAAATATGCTGCGTAGATAAGCAAATAATTTTTTCGTCAGATATAATTTTTCCAGTTTAATGTAAAACAAAATTTTCGATTTTCACTAAAGTAATTAAATAAATAACTTTAAATTAAAATAATTTCACAATATTTGCATTTTTTTCTGAAATAAATATTTTAAAATTAATATGAAGACTTTTTTTTCAAAAAAAAGGTGGCAATCACTGCTCTTTGATTAAATTGCAATAATTACTCAAAAATAAGATATTTTCATTTGAAAATTCCAATTTTGAAACTACTTTATGATTTCTATCCACAGCAAATGGCCGTAATCAAATATAAAATATTTTACTCTTCTTTTAATTTAAATCTCTCATCAGTCTTCTCAAATTAAAAAAGTCTTCTTACTCATTTACGCAATGGGCGACAGTGATAATGTGCCGGCTTGAAACCATAGCCCCGGCGCAAAAGTGGGTTCCGTCGGCGTTTATCCCCGCGTGCCAAGGAAAGTGACCACTATCGAGGGGCTTTCCCTTGTCAATTTCCGAATTAGTCGCCATGGACACTTTTCCCGCGTCTATAACAATAAAAGTTGCGAAAAGTTGATTTATTTTTTTATTTTTTAAATTTCTTCAGTAGAGTTTTTTATGTACCTGGCTCTTTATTCCTTCCCTTCATGGAATTGCTGTCGCCTCTGGGTTTCAAGCTGATCATGATTTTGTCGAATTCAGCTGCTGGAATTTCCAATTTGGCAGGCGTTCGCACGTTTTTCATGACCGTTGTAAAATTGTCCGTACTCTTGATTTCAAAGTACGAGGCCAACTTGGCATTATTTTGACTCGAAGGCGATCCCTGACATTGCATTTTTAAATGGAAAATTTGGAAGTCATGCATCCTCAATTTACCCCAAACTGAGCCATTGTTGGTCCTATAGTGAAAATAATGATGAGCAACGCAGACGATTTCACCATTTTTTCAGGCCACGGTATATGAAAATTTTCCATAAAGCGCTCCGCTGTTGCGACTGCAACGTTCCATGCAACTAAATTCAATGCCGACACAGCAGGATGTCAGTTTCCGCAAATGAAATAAAAACGACTTATGATTTTGTCCTGCCTAAATTTTGAATTTTGTAAAGGATCTATACATTTATATAAGTTCAAATCGCTGTAAGGTAAAAAAAAAGTTGATCTTATTATTGAAGTTCTCACCATTCTCAGTGGATTTAAAGGATATTTAAATTTAGAGGAAGTAATTTGTCACTGCTGATTCGTGCATGGGATTGTTGATTACAGAGAGAAAATTATTACCGCTGTAGGAAATGAGTGCGCTCTTTCATAAAATGAAAAATTGAGCTATGTGGAATTGCCTGACGGTCATAATTTAAATTTTACACCAGTAGCGTGACAAGTTGGATTAAGGTATTTTTTTTTTTATTTTATTGTGCATAATATTTTATAAATAATTTTTTGACTAGAAATTTTATTAAAATCATTCTTTGTTGTAAATAAGTCTTATTTTGGAAATATTTATTTAGACTTTCCAAAAAAGTTATTATCGTTCCGAATTTTCATGTGCAAGAAAATGCGCGCAAAAACTTGCAGCAAATCCGAGAAATCCTCGTATTCAGACGGGTCCAGCGATAACCCGCTCGATCTCACATCCCTTCAAGATTGTCCCCTCTGACCTCGAATTTCGGGTGATTGCCCTCGCTAATTAAAATAATTTCACGCGTGCTGCCGACGAGCTTCTCTCTTATCGAATCTGCTCAAATCCAAAGCTGCGCCGTCGGCTGCGGCTAATGCATTATTTTTATTGTTCTCACTCAGGAAGGGTTATCTTGTCTATTGAATGATGGGAGTGCCATTAGGCCGAATAAAAATAATCGCGATGGGGTAACGAGAACAGACACGGACTGCCTTTTGATCTACGGTGCGCCACACTGGGGTGTTTATTTGCCGGAGAAAATGAAGGCATTGAGAATACAAGTGTCTTTGTCTTACAATCAGACTTTGAGAGTGAACACAAAAGTTAATTGTTTGATTCTTTGCGAGTTTTCCATCGCGTTTGTTACGTAATTCCGAGTGACGTGCCCCGTTGAAATCCATGATGCAACCAAAATTGAAAATCTTATAAAAAAGACCAAAGCAAAGCAATTTAAAAATTAGTAACTTTAAAAAAGTTGATATTTTATTTTTCATTATATTTATTAAAAAAATCAATTTTTATATTTTGTATTTTTGGTTTACAATTGAATGAAAGAAATACTTTCATTTTCAATTTTGGATGACACTTGTAGAAGTTTTAGTACTCCTAAGTTTGGGATTCATTAAGTCCGGAGGATTAAATTTGATAATAATTGAAGATTTAATCAGATTTTGTACAGCAGTCCGTACGCAATAGTGACTCACGTGATAGCTCTTGGCTGGCCTCTGCGGGCCAACACAATGCCCATTGACTGGAGCCGGCGAACTCTTAATCGCCCAAAATCCGAGTTCCTTCAGCCTCTCGTCTTCAATTATTTGCGTCGCAGTTCATTAGTAACATTTTCCCGCATCAATTTATGTCGCGATTGTAAAATTTTTGATCTCGGGTCATCAGCGCTGCGTCACTTTTGGTCACATTTGTAGGAAATGAAACGCAGAAAAAATTGGGCAATAAAAATTGCGACTTGTGTTGGTAAAAATTATATATTTTTATAACATTTTGAAAAATAATTACAATTACTGCTTATTTGGGATAAATAAAACTTATTTTCGGCTTTTGAGAGGTGATATTAATATTCTAAGAATGCAAACAGAGACTTTGATCAAACAGTCATCATGTAAACCCACAAAACAAGAAGGCGCGGCAGCAAAGTACAAGACATCTTTTCATCATCTCTAAACATTTTTTTTATTTTTTACATCAAAACATTTATATCATGCTATATTGAAATTTAAAAACATCTTTTCAATAACAAATTTAAAGAAAATAATTAATCCCACAAATTGTTTAAATCCAAAAATTTTACTTGCAAATAAAGATTTGCAATTCAATATTTCCATTGCGAATTGCGATTTTCTTTCCACAACCCTGAACTGGCGGAAACGGCTCCAAAGGGCGCGTGGACAACAATGACATATCGCCGTCCGCCGGCGCAGATAAGTGCGGGTCGGCCATTGAAGATGAAGAACGCCGGCAGCAAAGGTCAAAGCGCGGGTATAAAAGGGCGGGTGGCTGGCGCGCCTCTTTCTATCCTCCGGTCGGTGTCGCCGCTGCCGGACAGACAGCCCTTTGGATTTTTGCAAGATGGCGACCGGCAAGGTGTTGCCCACCTTGGTGGCCCTCGTGGTTTTCCTCAATTCGGCCCTCGCGCGTAAGTACCTGCATGTTTAATATACATTTTTTTTATCTTCTATAATTTTGGTTTATATTCAGTATTTTCTTCTTCTAATACTCTTTTGGAAAATGAATTTTTCTCTTGCAATTTTTTTATCTAATGACCTGCATGCTAAATTGTCATAATTCTAGCAATTAAATTGTAAAATTTGGTTTGATTTCTAAAAAATACATTATATTACGTAATTATGAGCAATATTTTTAAATTAAATGAAGAAGTCGGGCTTGTCCTCGTAATTTTTTTTTCAAATTTTTTTTTTTAAATATAAAAATTTTTACAACGAGGACAAGCCCGACTTCTTAATTTCCATGATCATCTCCTCAAGCGTCAACTTCTTTTTTAAGTGACATTAAATATTAATTAATTTATTTATTTATTCTCAATTCAATATTTTGAACTTTAAGCAATACTTTGTATTGTTATGTAACATATTTTACTGAACTAATCGTTGAAATATATTTATTAACCATTTATGTATTACGCAACAGGAAATTATCATATCAATTAAAAATTTAAACCAAATGAGAAAAAAAGAGAAAAATTAATAAGCATAAAAAAGCTCATTTTCGTCCTTTGTATATAACAGAACTGCAATTTTTAATATGTAGGTCGGTGTCATAATTTTTTACGACTTGTCTGCGTTCAATTTTTTTTTTTTCATAAAATGTCTCATCTCTCTCTATCACTCGTCTGTCGCGTGGATTTGGCGAAAGGCGTTTATCATGTTTTTCTCTAAAATTTCCGTCTGTTATCTCTGCGCCCGAGTCAAGAGGTCAAAGTCAGTCAATGTCACGGTTCAAATTTCAATAACGCCTCAGAATTTGATAAATAATTTTTATCTTGTTGCCAAGGGCCACGCAAGCGAATAATTTTTTTTATAATTTTATTTACAGTTCCCCTGAAGACCTGCCCTGCCTTTGAATGTACAGGTAAATTTCAGTCATATTTTTCTTATCGATTAAACAAAAATCATTTTTTAAATTTAAATTTAAAAAAAAATTATATCAACCCGTTGTTATTCAGGATCGAATGATGTTTTCGCTTTTGAGCCGAAAAAGATCTATTCATATCACTTGGAAACGCAAACTTCAAGCGTCCTGAGCGGTGCCACCGTGCCCCAGGGCAAACTCCATCTCACTTCGGAAGTGACCGTGCAGGCGGTTAGCCCATGCTCGGCCATACTGACCGTTAAGAAGGCCACAGTCATTAATGGAGAAAAGGTAGGAATATTTATCATAGTTTTTATTTATATATATTGTTTACTTCTATCATTTTCCTTTTTATTATCAACAAAATTTTGGCTAATTTCAAATTTATTTGATATGAGCAGAAGCACCTTGGTGCCGCTGCTATTGAGGGCTCACCAGTCCTGATCGGCGTCCAGAATGGCCAGCTTGTGTCTGAGTTCTGCGCCAACAAGGCAGATTCCATCACCTCCTTGAACGTCAAGAGGGCCATTGCTTCGCTCTTCCAGGTCCCTGTGGAGCAAAAGCAATATGTAAATCCCAAAATTTAAAAGGTTGAAAAAAAATGGTAAATAACAATAATAATTTTAGACGGACATTTTTGGCACTTGCGAAATTTCATCCACTGTTCTGAACGGAGCCGACGGCACTACCGAGATCAACTCTTTCCGCAACCTGAACAGCTGCAAGCACCGAGAGAGTATCATCTCTTCAATTCCTTCTTCCTCTTACGACTTTGACGCTGTAAGAAGTTCAATTCAATTTTGAAAATTTGTTAGACATGTGAAAAATAAACTTTCAGCCTGAGCAGTCCAATCCCATCATCAAGTCTAGTGCTCGTCTAGAGCAGAGACTGAAGAACAAGGTCCTCGAGGCTGCCTCCGGACACGAAGAGTACCACTTTGTGCCTTACAGCAACCAGGGCAATGGAGCAATCATCACTGTCTCGACCAACATCACACTCACAGGCACCGCCGACGGAGACGCGCAGTTTGCTGGTGAGGAGATACGAACGCCTGCAGATCGCTAAGTATGCAATCCGCTCTACTTCTAAGTTGGGCAGATTGCGTAACTTCGACTGTTTGAATTTATTTAGATAAATAATTAATTTATGATTATTTTTCTTTTGATAGCCTCTGCTGAACCAACTTCTGTTTCCGTCATCTTCGAGGCTCCTCATGGATCCAGTAGCGACTACTCTAGTGGAAAGGCCATTAATGCTGCAGTTGAGGAAGCGTGCAAGGCCATCGAAGCCCACAGTGTCGATTCTGCCCACTATGTCCGCAGCTTGATCCAAGTTATTCGCCAGTCTTCTGCTGCCAATCTCCTGCAGGTTTACAATACCAACAGCAAGAACCCATGTGGAGGGTCAGTAAAAAATACCATAAAAATTTAACTTGTTTAATACTTTTTTAAATTGCAGCAAGTTGATGCTCGATGCCCTTATCAACGCTGCCACTGGCCAGACTGTTGAGGCTTTGGTAAAACTAGCAAAGAGCAAGGCTTTGGACCTCGATCAATTTTACACTAGTCTTGCGTTCAATCGTCACCCCACCCTTGCCTCCATCAAGGCCATCACCACTCTGATCGAGAAGGGTAATCCTGCACGCAACCTTATTCTTGGTGCTGGATCCCTGGTAGGCAAGTACAATGAGGAGCATGGAATTGAGGGAGCAAAGGAAATTGACACCCTTTTGGAAAGAATTGCCAGGCCCCTAGAAAACTGCAACGCCAACAACCACGAACAGGAAGACAAGGTAAATAAAATTTCTCTTTTTTGCCAAAATTTAAATTATTAAAATTTTAAAAAGAAAAAATGCCACATTGAAACAAAAAATATTTATTATTTATGTTTCTAAGACAGAACAAAATTCGTATGGAAAATTTTTAAATTTTAAAAAGTTTATTCAATTTTTTTATTTTGACATCATGAAAACTTTATTTTCTAATTTTTAATTTCATACCTTTTCTCAGATTTTGACAGCTCTCAAGGGTATTCACAATGCCCACTACATCCCTGACTCTGTCGCTGACAAACTGAAGGAATGTGCCAGCCGCAAGTACTCAACTCGTGTGCGCGCTGCCGTCATCGACTCCATCCAGAGTGACGCTGGCAACGCCAAGCTGAAGCCTACCATTCTTGAAATCCTGGAGGACCGCGAGGAAGACTCTGAATTGCGTATCAAGGCCTACCTTGTTGCCGCCACCTGCCCGTGCGGCAAAGTCTTTGAGTCAGTCAGCAAGCTTGTGCAAAATGAGCCTGTCAACCAGGTTGGATCCTTCATCGCCACCCACCTGCGCAACCTGAGAGCCTCCGCCAACCCTGACAAGGCCGGAGCCAAGGCCATCCTTGGATCCATCAGGGTCCCTGCGAATAAGTACAAGTACGACTACCGCCGCTTCTCCACCAACACTGAGCTGAGCTTCTCCCTGGGCAAGGAAGGTGTTGCCGCCTCTGCCGAGTCCAATGTCATCTTCTCGCAGAAGTCCTTCCTTCCCAGGAGCACCGACCTGAACCTGACCGCCAACGTTCTGGGACACTCATTCAACCTGCTGGAGGTCGGCCTTAGGGCTGAGAACCTCGAGCACATCCTGGAGACCTACTTTGGGCCCAAGGGCTACTTCAAGACTCATTCTCCCAATGATGTTGTCACCACCGGAAATGAGACTGTCAACAACCTTGCCCAAAAGATCAAGTAAGCTTAATATACATAAAAAACACCATAAATTCAAATTTTTTATTTTATTTTAGGGAAAGGGCCGTCCAGTCCATACAGTCCACCCGCAACAAGAGATCAGTTGATCGCTCGAGTTTGGAAAAGATGAGCGCCAAGGTTAAGCTGGAGGATGACGACAACATCAACATTGATGTTTACCTGAAGCTTTTCGGTTACGAGCTGGCTTTCTACTCTTACTACGGCAACCCCACTGAATTCACCCCTGCTGGCATCGTTGACAAAATCTTTGACAGAGTTGACAGCACCATCGATAAGGCTAAGGACTATAATGTAAATTATCTTTCTTAATTAAAATAATGTTAACTTAATAAATTACAATTCCAATTTAGTTGAACATCGACAAGAACGTTCAGCTCTTTGACACCGAGTTCACCTACCCCACGTTTGCTGGTTTCCCACTCAAGCTGACTTCTGCTGCCACTGCTGCTATCAAGGTTGAACTGAAAACACATTTTGATCTGCAAGCTATTGTTAGGGCACCCCAACAGACTGATATTGCATTCAAATTCATTCCGAGGTAAGGATCTGATTGCACCTTTAGAATATAATTTTAATTAAAAATTATTAGTGCGACCGTCGAAGCCTCAAGTGAGTTCTTTGTTGACTTCTACATTGCTGCCTCTGGCCTGAAGCACGCTGCCACCATCCACACTTCCAATGGTGTTGACCTGACCTTCAAGATCTTGAACGGCAAGGGCTTTGACCTTAACATCGGCACCCCTCTTGCTCAGCAGGAGATTCTGCATGTCAAGTCGGACCTTTTCAGCGTCAGCCGTGACAAGGGATTTGCTCCCGTCCAAACCCCGATTGTTATTACTATTCCAAAGTAAGAATACATGTCAAATAAATTAAATTTTTTGTAAATAAATCTTTTTGTTCCAGAAAACAATATTATGGCTGCTTTGACCAGCTGTCCCCATTCATCGGTGTCACTTTCTGCGGTGATTTGAGCTTCCCTAATGAAGGTGTGCCCAAGAAAGGACCTTTCTTCCCTCTGGATGGCCCTGCTGAGTACTATGTTCTGATCAAAAAGGACGACCCTGCCCTTACAGCATACAATATCAATGCCCAGTACCACGATGAGGGTAAGAAGATAAAGTGAAAAATTAGGGCTAAAAAAAATTATAAACTTATCATAAATTCAGATCCCAATGTGAAAGGATGGAGCCTCCAGTTCAGCACCCCTCGTGCCAGCTCCGAGAGGCTTGTTAAATTCTTGTTCACTTTAGCACAGAGGGAGAGTCAAAATGAGGCCAAGCTTGAGTTCATTACTCCAATTAAGTCTGGATACGCTGCTGGTATATTATTAAATTATCCAAATGAAGCTCATTTAAAATTATATATGAATTTTTTTAGTTACTCTCATTGAAGACAAGCAGGAGAAAGCTATTGATGCAATTCTCAAGATGGATGCTGATGAGTACAAAGCTAAGGTTGGTCTTACTGTCATTGAGTCCTCCGATGCTGCCACCACATATAAGCCTCAACTGACCTATTCTGGACCTGGTGACGATGGCTCCAACAAGCAGTACACTGTTGATGGTACTAATTTTTTAAATAATATTCATGTATATGTTTAAAATTTATTCCTAAAAATAGGCGTTATCAAGCACGAAAAGAGTGGCTCTTTGGACAAGTTGACCTTCACCGCAGTTGCAGTCACAATTCCCAAGAACAAGTACCAGCTTGATGGTTTTGCCGGACACTCGAATACAGGTTTTGATGTTGACCTGGTTGCCAAGTACAACAACCTTGCTGAAACTGTTGCCCTCAAGAGCAAGTACGAGCGAACATCTGACAAGGCTGCTCACTTTGATATTGAATTCAAGGCATCAAAGTATCCTGAGGCTGCCTTTGCTGCTAACTATGATGGAAAGCGTGACGAGCTTTTGGTAATAGTTAAAACTTACAAATTTAAAGCTTTTTATAAATTTTGCTTTAAAAGGTTGACAACAAACTGAAGGTTTATTACGGTACTGACCTTAAGAATGAAGACCACAGCGTAACAATCGAACAGCACTGGCAGGCTGAGAAATCTGAGGAAAAGATCGCCTCCTTCTCCACCAAGAACAAATGTAATATAGTAATTTATTCTTATTTCTTGCCTTGACCAAATAGCGCCTTTAGTGAGCATACCTGGTGTTGGAATTTTCCTGCATTATGATGCCGACGGAGTCCGTGACAAAAGTGTGCACTTCATCGCCGAGGTTGGCTATGAAAAGCAGAGGCTCACTTCTGAGCTCAACTACAAATTCAACATCCCAGGCCCTGATGGACAGAAAGACTCAAAGGACCCTGGTGGCTTCGAGCTGCTTCTCAAGGCCGGTGCTGCCGGAAAGGTTGTGACCATCAACTCAAACCGTGTCATCGAGACTCCCACCACCTCCAAGACCCTGTTCAGCGTTGACCTCCAGCCCGAGAATAAGGTCTTCAAGATTGAATCGGACCTCATTCACAAAGTGTTGAAGAATGATGTAAAGCTCATGATCACCTCTGTTGTTTCCATCACTGGATTCCCTGACACTTATACGTAATTTTTAATAATTTTATTTTTTAATTTTAATTATTTATTTCTGATCACTTTAGTGTCTGCACTGGTGTTGAGAACACCCCTGAACAAAGCCAGGGCCACCTCCAGTTCTCAAAGGGATCTGTCGAAATCTTCAAGGTTAAGGGTGAGGCTAAGCACGGTGACACTGAAACTGGCAAGTTTGAAGTCTTCCTTAAGGACTTCCTCGACGGAACTGGTACCTTCAGCCACACCAAGAGCAAAAATGAAGGAACTATTGATGTATTTAGTTTTTATTGCTTTCATGTGGCAAATATTAATTTTGGTTAAATAATTTTAGTCTACATTCAACTCTCAAAAACTTAACCGCAAGGTTGTTGTAACTGGAAAACTAGCCCCTGGCGCTAAGGCAACCGTCCGTGAGCTGAGTGTCAATGTTCTCCTTGATGCCGACAAGAATCCTAGCAACAAAGTCTCCATCGACTCGAGTCTTGATTTGAACAAAGACGGCCGCTCTTATGACACAAAGTAATTATAACTTTTGACGTCATAGTTCCCTTAATGACATATAAAATTTTTCCTTAGGACCACAATTTCCATCATTGACAGTACTTTTGTGATCAGCCTTAAGGGAGTTGTGCCCAATCGCACTCCTCTGGAAAATGGAGTCATGTCCAGATTTGACGGCTCCCTCGAGCTGCCCAGCAAACAGGTTATCAGTGCGTATGCTGACTTGGTCCAGCTCCAGGAATCACAAGGAAAGGGAACCACTGCTCTCATTAAATTTGATGACGGAAAAGGTTAGTTTTTTGTATTAAGGAATGAATAAAAATTCAATAAATTTTTTTTATTAAGATTACAAGCTGAAGTACTCTGGAAAATACGCAAGCGTTGATGGTTTCGCTGTTGCTACCTTTGACGTAGACACTAATTTGGAGCTGAACTCTGCTCAGAAGAACCTTGTTATTGCTTATAATATTAAAAATACTCCTGGTGACAACACAAAAACTATTGTCCACAAGGTATAGATTATCTTTTGGCTGAAACTATATTTATATAATAATTTAATTTAATTCAGATTGATGTCACTGGATCTGCCATTCCTCAACCATTCAGCTCCATTTTCACTGCTGAAATCCAGGACACTCCCAAGTATCACCTGACGACTCGTTATGGTGAGAAGGTTGCTGTTGATGCCGAGACGTCTTTCAATTTCAAGAACAGGAAGGATCAGTCATATGACCTTAGCTTCAACCTGAAATCTGATTTCGAGGGCTACAAGCAAGTCAAGTACACTTCCTCCTACAAGGGTAGCATTGATACAGAGGCTAGCAATGTAAAATCTCAATAAATTATTTATGCTTTAAAATTAATGAACACTTCAACAGGGAAACGCCAGAGACTTCTTGGAAATCGAGAATGCCCGAGTGTATGACATTTCTGCCCACTACGACTATGTGCACACCGCCAGCGAGTGCAAAGGAAACTACAAGCTGACCAGCCTCTTGGGGGCTGAAGAGAAGGACCCCCGTGAATTCTCTTTCTCCCACGAATACACTGGCCCCACCGAGCTTAAGGTTGACACTAACAGGGCTCGCAAATTCACTGGAACGGTCGGACTCAGCCAGGGCAGCACAGCCTTTGGACTCAAGTTCGATGCTGAGACCCCTGGAGACGGAACTACCAGCGGCAAATTTGGAATCACTCTTGACACTCCCATTGAGAACTACAAGACCATTGTGCTCAAACTTGACCATAAAGTAAGAAATATGGTAATTAAAATTTTTATTTTTTAAATTTATGCAAAATATAGAGCCAGAATTCTGGAAAGCTGATTGAGGCTGATGTTGAACTGAACTTCGACAACAACGAAGCTCGGCATTATCTTCTCCATGGCAAGGCTGATTTGAGCGAAGTCAGCCGAGTCTTCTCAGTCCAGATCACCAAGTTTGACAAGACCCCAATCTTTAAGACCCACGCTTCCTACCAGAGACCATCTAGCAACGAGATTCAGGGTGAACTGAACATCAATGTTGGAGGCGCCAAGTACGTTTTAAATTTATATTAATATTTTATGGAGAGTAAAATATTTTCAATAACAGGCCCTTCAATCTGGCCGTCAATGGCGTTGCCAAGTACCCTGGAGGTTTCGATGAATTTGATGTTGTTGTCAACTTGGACTCAGAGGACTTGAAACTGAGCAAGGTCAGAGTTCACCTGGATGGCAAGAACCAGGGTGCCAAGGGACGCAAGATCAACGTTTCCATCAAGTCCGCTGAAAAGACTTACATCGAGGGAAGGTATATATATAAAAAAATAAATGACATTTTTACAGTAATAATAAATTATTCATTGTTCCCAGTACCACTTTCCAGAAGAAGGATGATGGCACAAGCACTGTGTATGAGGGCAAGGGCGAAGTTGAGCTGAACGGTGACAAGTACTCATCCGACATCAGGTTGGCGCACCGCGTTCTCCAGAAGGCTAAGGATTCCGAAACTGGTTTTGATATCACCCTGAACGGCGTTTTGACTGGCAAGCTGAAGAGAACCATCGATGCTCAGTTCCTTCTCACTGACAAAGCTCTGAGAACTTACACCAAGTACTGTAACGACAAGTGCTCTCAGGTTGATGTTGGAAACACCCTTAAGATCACTGGTAGCAAATTTGAACTAAAAAAATTTTAATTTTATTAATTTTTTGTTTACTAGATGCCACTGAATTGCATGTCGAGAATAAGGTTTCTTTCGACTTCGAGCACACTCCTAACCCCTTCGCACTTAACATCAACTCCAAACTGCACCGCAAGGGCTTGGCTTTTGAGCACAGAATTGAGGCTGAGCTCGGCAAGGCTGAAAAATCCACCAAGTATGTGTACGAAGCTCTCCTCAAGGATCGATCTCTTGGTCTGCACTTGATCACCCCCAAGAGGACCATTGCCATTGATGGTGTCTTCTCCACTCCCGAAAAGGTATACTTTCTTTGACAAAATTATAAGTCGAAGAGAGTTTAAAATTATTTCTTTCCAGGCAAAGAGTGAGAACTCTCAGAGCTACAAGGCTGAATTGACTGCTTACCTGGACAAGGCTAATGAGCCTGACAAGAAGCTGACGCTTTTGTCCTCCCTGGACGTCAACAAGGGCAAGGATGGCACAATTTACACATCAGATCTGAAAATTTCTCATCCTCTTATTGGAAAGGCTAGTATTTATCTTCAAAAAATTTATTAGTATTAATTTTTATTCAATTGTTTAACAGGACCTTGTCTTCAAGAGCAAGAACTTGATTGGAACTGGACAGGTTCTGCTTGATTCCTCTTTCACCCTGGACGTCTTCGCCAAGAAAAACCAGGCCATTGTGTTCAGCATCAAGAATGAGCGCGTCCCAATTGATGGCGGCTTTAACATGACCTCTACCTTGACCATCACCAGCAAGGCCCAGGGTTTGGACGTGACCACTGTGAACCACTTTGTTGCTACCAAGAAGGAGGTTGGCTTTGGCTCCGTCATCACTTGCAAGAGTGACAACGAGGTCAGGGAGACTGCTGCCATCTTTGCTGCCAGCATCGACAGCCTGTTGATCTTTGTCGGGTCGCCATCCTGCGAGATCCTCAGAATTCACGGAGACTGCAAGAGACAAACAGGAATTCCTCCCAAGGCCAATGTCTATCTGTCTTTCCTTGACACCATCAACTTTGAGGGAGAAGTGATCGGTTATCAAAGCTTCAAGTACCAGGCTTATGACAAGAGTGAGTAATTTTTATTTTTGTTTTCAAAATGTGATTTTTAACTAAAAATTAAATTTTAGACCAGCCTGAAATTCGCACCGTTTACTCTGGCGCCTTCGAACTGGAGAAGGAGCTTCTGCTGGAGGCTGACCACCTATCTGCTGGCAGCTCTGCCAAGCTCTTCCGCCTCCGCGTCGCTCTGGACAAGGACAACTTCCTGCAGACTGAACAGACCCTTGACCCCGATCAGCTGAAGGTTGCTCTTGACAGACTGCAGACGATCGGCAAGTCTGCCGCCGACAGACTCACCCAGTGTGTTACTGCGAACTACAAGGTGGCTGAGACCAGAGCCAAATCCATCCTCGAAGGCCTAAAGAAATCCCAGCCTAACCTGAAACCCCTCATCGACAGATGCAAGGCTCAATTTGAAGCCCTGCAAACTGAACTTAGAGCTGACCCGACCATAAATGAAATTTTCGAAGTCATGTAAGCTTTTATATTTTTACTATAACATTTGAAATTTTGATACTTATTTTTTATAAATAATAATTTCAGCCAAAACCTTGTTGGTGGTCTTACCCAGACTGTCACTAAGTTCCTGCAGACCCTTGGCGAGTATGTCGAGAAGGTCACGACTGTCCTGAAGGAATGGGCTAGCAAATTCGCCGAATTGATCAACAAACTGACTCCCGTTTTTACTGAAGCTATTGGAAATGTCAGCAAAGCCTTGTCAAGCACGTTCACCACCTTCCTGGAAATCTTCACTAAGTTGGCTGGAAAGGTCCTGGAAGCCATTAAGGCCAACAGCGGTGACATCCAGAAGATCTTCGGGCTCTTTGCCGAGTTCATCAAAGGTAAAATAATTTTTTTAACTAAAATTATTTAAATCATTGTAATCAATGATATGATTTATTTATGCAGATCAAAGCAAGATTGTTGGAGAAATTGCCAATGAGCTCAGCACCTACGTGAATGAGTTGATCAAGACCATCATCAAGCAGCTCGAGTCGCAGCCGTTCCTGGACAAAATCAAGGAGAGATACGAAGAGTTCTACAAACTGTTCTTGGAGCGCTTTGACGGAGTGTTTGCCGAAATTGCCGATAACCTGAAGGAAATTCTGCCTAACCAGGAGCTCAAGGAATTGGCCGATGCCTTTGTCGACTACATCACTAAGAAGGTTAAGGGTCAACCTGTGGATGACATTGCTGAGCTGAAGAAGCTGACCGAAAAGCTGGTCAAGGCTTTCACCGCCCTTGTAAATCTGCCTGCAGCTTCTGGAATTCCAGGAATTGAGGGCCTGAACCTTGAAAACATTTTGAAATTTAGTGTGGTAAGTCTACAAAATCAATACTTTTGAAATGCATTGATTTGGTTTCTTTCAGACACCCGCAAACTTTGACTCACTGATTGCCCTGCCCCAATTCACCAGCTTCAGGGCTAGCCTTCTGGAGCTTCTTGGTGCTAACGATCTGCCCTCGGCTGCTGAGATCTTCTTCACTTACTCTGTGCCCCGCCGTTTTGACGATGCTGTCATTCCTTACAGAGGTAAATTTAATTGTAAATAATGTTTTTTGGTATTTCATTTTTAAATTGTGTAGCCTTTGGCCAAATCTCTGGATCTAAGCACTTCTACACCTTTGACGGAGACCACTACACCCTGAAGGGTGATTGCCAGTACCTTTTGGCTAAGGACTTTGACGATGGCAACTTCAGCTTGACTGTCGAGCTGGCCGGAAATGAGCTCAGGTCTGTCGCTTACATCGACGCCAAGGACAATGTCGAGATCAAGGCTGACCACTCTGTAAATTTTACTTTTTCATAATTTTCTTGCTATTTTTATTCATTAAAATTTTCTCAGGTCTTGGTTAATGGACAAGTTGCTGATCTGCCCTTCCACCAAAATGACGTCAGCATCTATCGCACCTTGAATGCAGTGAACCTCAAGAGCAAGTACGGAGTTGAAATTGTCTGTGACCTGCACCACGACCTCTGCTCTTTTGCTGTCAATGGCTACTACTTTGGAAAGACCCGTGGTCTCCTCGGAACCATCACCAATGAGAAGTTTGACGACTGGACCTTGCCAAATGGAAAGGTTAATCATCTTAATATAATTTATCTTCTTAGATATCTTATTTAAATTTTGTCAGATTGCCACCACCGTGTCTCAGTTCTCCAACGCCTACATGCTGAGCGACTCCTGCCAGAACCAGGTTCCTGTCGAGCACAAACACAACACCCACGCTGAATGCGCAAATGCTTTCACTGCTCCTGCATCTTTCTCGTAATATTTTTTAATGAAAACTCTGTTTTATACTCTACTTTTTTTATAGTGAGTGCTTCTCCTTTGTGGACCGCACTCCTTACCGCCAGGGCTGTGAGGATGCCTTCGACGATGCTCAGACTCCCGAGCAAAAGAGTGCCGCAATCTGTGATGCTGCCGCTGCTTATGTGTCCAAGTGCCGTGACGCCACCTTCCTTCTACCCACCCTGCCTTTGAACTGCGGTAATTTTCCCTAATTTTTTAATATCAAATATATGTCTACCAAATTCTTTTTATCATCTTTAAAAAAAAGCTGTGAAAATATATTAAATTAATTATATTCTTTTTCCAGCTCAATGCAGCTTGGGTGCCACCAGCATCAACGTTGGAAAGACTGCTGTTGTCAAGACAGCTGGCAAGGTTGACGCCGTCATTCTCGTCGAACAGGTTTCCGACAACGAAGTCACCTTCAAGGACTTGGTCCTTCCTTTGGCTGCTCAGGTTAAGGTGGATCTGACCTCAAAGGGCTTCACCGACATCAGGTCCGTCCTGATTGGCTATGGCGCTCCTGGCCAGCAGTGGCCGTCTCTCTACACCACCGATGGCAAATTCATCTTTGACAGCACCAATCCACCCAAGCAGCTCAAATTCGGCGCTTCTGAATCTGGAAATGCTGGTGCTAACGTGCACCCTCTTCTGGCTTTCCTCAACAGGGCCAAGGAGTACAGTGCCCTTGAATTGGGTCTCACCCCTCTTGCCCAGGCATTCAGACAGGTCATCGAGTTCCCATTCAGACCTGATGCTGCAAAGGCTGTCATTCTCGTCAGGAGCAGCGAGTGCCACAAGACCAAACTGCCTGTCTCGGTTAGATCCATTTATTTTCAAATATTATATTCTTTATAACAATTTTAAAATTGAAATACTATATAATATTCATTATTATTATTTATTAGTCCTGCTTTTCTACTGTTTTTCCTGAAATTTAAACATTTTTTACAGCTCCAGCAATTGACCTTCCTGCAGGCCAGAAACTTCTTCAAGGACCGCGGAATTGTTGTTGGACTCGTCCAACCCATCGACATCACCACCACTGCTGCTGAGAAGAAGATCATTGGTTTTGATTCTGAGGCTGCCATCACCTACACCAAGAAGGGTGTTGACCCCAATGGCCGCTCCGAAATTAACTACAGTAGCGACTCTTGCGCGCCTTACATTGACACCGTAATTTTATATGATTTTCATGAAACAAATTTTTTATTTAAACTGTTTATTTAAAGGTCAAGCCTCTTGTTCTGAGCAGCAAGATCTTCAACGAACTTAAGGCTGGTCCTCGCAAGCAGTTCATCCAGAGCGCGTCCAGCAGATTTGCCAGTCTGCTTGCAGTCGAGAACACCCAGAACTGCGACTGCGTTTTCCACGAGGGTCTGCACGCACAGACCAGGTGCTCTGTCTCTGCCACCAAGCAGAAGGTTTGAAAATTTTCTGAAAGAAATTAATTTTTTTAACGCTATTTATTTTAAATTTTAGGGCAAGAAGAACTAAATATTATATGGAGCTTAAGAATGAAAGAGTGCAGTTTAGAGGAATTGAAGGAGTGAAAAATTTTTGACTGTAATGTTAAGTGAAAAAGTGTAAAATAAATACAACAACAAAACTAATGAAATTTTATTTATGCTCTGGTAATATAATTAATTATTAAATTTAATTTTATTATATAGAAATTTTGTTTTTGAATTTCCACGACTTTTTTTTACAAATTTTACGCGCCTTTATTGAATGATTTAATACAACAATAATATGTACAGCAGATTTTAGTCTTGCCAAAACAATGTGTAATTAGAAAATTTTTCAGTGGGAGACAAAAAGTTCAGCTTAATTCTGTCTTTAATTAAGGTTGAAATGGAATGGAATGCAAAAGCAATCAAAAGTCTTTTAAGTTCCACGATCCAAATTTGTCCATGTGCCGTTCGCGTTAAGGATAAGGCGTAGAGAAACATCGCGCTGACTCTTAATTCATTATGATAATGCATCTATTGTTCGCCCACATATTCCTCCTACCTGCCGCAGCAACCAACGAGAAACAATAATCAAAACGCGCTCTCGCCGTAATTGTTCCCCGACTAACCCATTTTAATGTTAATTTCTCCTGACTCTCGGGTATAAATAATGGTCCTTTTCCCGATCACTTAAAATATTAGAATAATGGGAATAATGAATAGTGAGATGCAAATGAGAGTGAGACCTTTAAATGTGGGTTTTTGTTAACAATACAAATAAAAATAACAAATCTACATAATTTAAGCATTTTTGTTGAAGATCAAGAAATTAATTTGGAAGAATTATTCCTGATGATATTGACGTGCAATGACCACGGATCTAAAACCATTTCATATTTTTTTCTCGCTCGCAATTATCAGAGCGTGGAGCTGCGCGCGGCGTTTAAATTCGGCCGATTTACAAAAAAACAAGTCTCTAGGGAACGAATGGAAAAAAAACGAAATCAAATTATTTTGCGGTGGTTCTTCGTTGATGGCCGATTCGATCGCCTGTCCGAAACAACATAATTCATTTTGCGTGAAATCGGTGTTGTGGGAAACACAAGCACTTTGTTCGCGCGCCCACAGACCTTTCTGGCTCTCTCTGGTCAGCCGCGCGATGATATATGCAGATAGGCATTTGGGCGCATCGGACCGAAAAATTTTGGTTTTCTTGGGGAAAATTTTTTGCTGGAAATAGAATACGGACTATAGCCATAGGTGATAAAATCACAGAAATAGTAAAATTGTTCGTTTTTACAGCAAATTTCGTAGCCTTGAGATAAAATTTCTCTTTTTAAATTTAAGAGTGTGGCACAAAGAGTCAAAGAGAGGTTTAGCAAATCTAATTACATAAGAAACAATAATGTTGCTCAATAACCTCTGCTGACTATTGTATAAAGATTTGTATAAGACATTTATATAAATAGGGTGTTGTTACCTTTTAGTTGAGCAGACAAATATGGCCTTATTTAGACACTCTTGATTTAAAGAAAAAGAAAAATCAAAAGAAAGCGTCTTATGACAAATAAAAAAAGAGTTATCTGCGCCTAAATAGCTATTTTTCTACATTTTTTTAAAATTATATTTCATTGTACATAATAAGGAAGTTTCGCGCATCTCGACAATCAAAGCCAGATATTGATTGTTGCCAAGCGCAACCTAGCGTTCTTTTTGATTATGTTAATTTTTATTTTACCTTTTATACCTTATAATCAGAGATGTCAAACAACAATCGAAGTGCATTGAAATATGTTTAATTGTTGTGATGCCCGATCGAGAACATTGCATAAAAAAATTTTAAACACGATGGAATTAGATATCAATTAATTGATGTAATTTTTTTAACATTTATGGCAGTTATGTCAATATTTTATATGAAATTAAGTAACTTAAGTAAATGAATTATGTATTTATTTTGAATGGTTTCAAACGAGGCAGTTTTGAGCTATTTTTGTTTAAATGATGCGTTTAGAAATTTTGGAATAAAATATATAATTTTTTTAAGAAAGACGTCAATATTAAATGGAGGGATTCTAATTGTAATGAACTAAGAATACTAAGAATAGCAGATGATTAGGGGATTTTGACTTTCTTAAATTTTTTTGAAAAATAAGTTAAACAATGAGAAGGATGAAAAAAAAATATTAATATCATAGACAATATCCCTAATTGATTGTTCGTTTAAATTAAAAAGATTGAGGATGTAATAAACCGAAATAAATATTCAAACAAAGAAATTTATATTACCTCGTTAAAAAATCTCTTTTTCTCCGTTATGTTGAGTAATCTGAGCATTGATTTTTTTGCAAGTTGATTGTTGCAAAAAAAAAATTAATAAAAATAATCACCTGTAATTATAACAGATGATTTTATGGGGAAGGACAAATCGTCAGAGATTTAAATAAATTAAATGGCTCTTTCGCGCCGACTGTATAATTTACGAGTTAACTTTGGTGCCTGTTTGGTGGGCTGCGCACGCGCCGTGGATTATCGAGCGCGGCGCTGTCTGCGGCACAGGTGAAGCAGAGTTAGCGGTGCTGCGACTGGAGCACCACGAGCGGCCGATCTGCAAGTTTGCTGGAGAACGGGCACTCGGCAGCGCACCAGCACCAGCCTGTGACTCACACTAGTGGAGGAGCGATCGCGAGCAAGGACGATCGAACCAAAATGAGTTGTCTGCATTCTGCTGCACGTTCCGCCGAACTTTGGCTCGTTCTGTGAGTGCTGCTCTGTGATGTGTTCCGCGTTCCAAAAGTGCTGTGACCCTGGTCGTCCGCGACTGCTGAAGAAGCAGCTTTTAGCATGAACAACCGAGGATACTACGTGCCCTGCGCCCCTTTTTTGTACTTTGTGAGTACCTGAATTTTTTAAATTTTTTTTTATTGTTGCATATAATTTTCAGTTGCGATTATAATTTTTTTTATATATTATTCAAGAGCTTTGCCAAGAGATAAGTCTCGTTCTGGTTGCGAATCGAGGTTAGAGGAGAGAATCTTCCTTTTCACAGCTCACGTACTCGGGCATTGACGAATCCGGGTTAATTTCAATTCGCGATAATTAAAACAGCTTCGGTGTGCTGGAGAGATTAGTTTTATTTTTATTGCATAGAGCTGGAGATTTCTTCTTCGTGTCCGCTTTTAATCTTCAAAAGAATTTATTTCACAACCAAAAGGAAAGATTATATTATATTTTCCATAATTAGAGTAACCGAAGATGAAGACATTTCTCAGTATTGAGAAGCTTTTAAATTTTTAATTAGTCAATTTAGCAAATTGATTTAATGAAATTTGATAAAACTAAATGAGATACAAAATTGATTTTTAAACTTCAATAATTTATATTCAAAATTAGTAAAAAATTATATATTTTATTAAATTATTAGTTTTTTTTTTCAATTTAATTATCGAATATTAACAATTGATCAAATTTGCTGGCACTGATCAAGAAAGAACGTGAACTGCTGTCAGGGATGAAAACTCCACTAACAATTAAATGCGGTTTTTTTCATGAATTGGTTTTAAAATTAAATGTGTTAAGTTTGATATCACAATTAGGCTATCTGCAAATAGTTAATTTTGGAATTAAAATTCCACGATGCAGATTAATCTAATTGTAAGTCCTACGTCAGTGAATTTTATTTGTTATCTCTTCTCGATAAAAATTGGAGTACAGATCAGAAATAAGTAAACCTATAATAAAATAGATACAATTCATATAATCCTGTGTAAAATATCTTTAATTATTTAAAAAATTATTTTGTATTCTAATAATTGGTTTTATTAATTAATATTATAATTACTTTATTCAACTCTTCAGTATTTTTTTTAATTTTTCAAGTTCATTTAAGCTGTTTTTTTTACTACCTGTGAGAATTGTAATTAAAATTTCATTTTAAAATTGTAGATTATTTTCAACGCTTTCATGTTCCAAGAAAAATATCCGTTTGTTAAATATTAAATCAAACTAAATTGTCCTCAATTAAATTCAACGCTGCTAAAAAGCGTGTTTTTTTTAATACATTACAACATCCGATCAGTGCAATAAAAACTTCAACTCTGCCCTTGATTTCGAAGGAAACTCGATTGACTGGCTGCGTGTCCATTTTTTCCAGTGTTGTTTCGTTTTATACATTTAAAATTACTGCATGTATAGTCAAAGCCGTGCTGCTGAGTAATTTAAATCGGCTCCGCCTTTGGTGCAAGCCCGTGTCATGCCATTGTTTTCTACGATGGATCGTCCGTCGTCAGCCAAGTGGCGCAAATTGCTCTCCAGCAACGCAAACCCGGAAGTCGCGCATCTCGTTCGGCAAAACAGGTGCCGCATTAATTGTCCGTCGGCCAGTTCGGCTTCTCGAGATTTTTTGCAGTCCCTTGTCTACTCGCGGAGTTTATTATTGATATTTTTTTCAGCCTCTGACGTTTTTCAGTTATCGATCTTGGTCGGCTGCGTTGTAAGTGTTAATCAGAAATGACTGCCCCGCGGCTCTTTTGATACGAAGGAAAGAACTCGGGAATACTCGAGCACACTTCAAAAGCTTCTCAAAAATGACTTGCTGGCTGGGTTTTCAATCTCCAGCTCTTTTGAGCATAAAAAAAGATGGGGAACGCGGGAAAATGAGAAAAGTTGACCCCTTTAAAAATCTGTAAAAATATGAATATATATAAAAAAGAAATTATTTGCATAAAAAAAACCACAAGCAAAAAAAAAAAATGATGGCACTGAAAAGCACAAACTCTGCTCTCTTTTATTAATGCTCTACTGATTTGAGTAGGAAATGACTCTCGAAAAGGATGACTGGTCGATGATGGCACACGAATTCAAAACTGGAGCGCCAGTTGCTTTTCAACTTTTTACAAAAAAATATTTGCCTTTTTACAAACAAAGTGAAAGGAAAAGTGGTTTGGTCTTATGAAAATAAAACCTGCCTAGCAGGAATTTTATAAAAATTAATTTATTATTCAATTACCTGCGGTTGAATTGGTCAACTGCGCATGCTTTTTTGTAGTTTGTTTAATTATTGTCTCGCCACTATTTTTGCAGAACAATTCTCGGTATGAAACAATTGCTGCAAACTTTGAAGGACGTTGCTGAGATTTATGTGGGAAAGCGGATGCGAAATTGCATTTTAATGGATACTTAAAGAACTACACGTACAAGTTGAGACTGTCATGGGATTAGGCAAAAATTACAAGGTATTGCGTCGTCGAATACTAATTTGAGAGACCACCAGAAGAAAGGAAAACAATTAAATGCTATGAATTTCATTACGCAGCTTAAAGGGTTTTTATTAATTTAAGCTATAATTTGGCCTTCAGTAATGGCTGGAATAATTTAAAAATTAATGAACTAACAGATTCACTGGGGAAAAAATGAGTTCAAATTTTTCCTAACGTTTCAAATTTTGCCAAAACCAAAGAAACTTTACATTTTAATTGTATATTTTTATTAGAAAAATTTCTATAGATTCAATAATCAGCCTTAACAATTTTTAAAACTATTTTTCTATTAATCTCCGTTCATATTTTTAATAGATTTTTCCCTTTTATTAATTAATAATAATACAAAAACAAATTTTCCTTTTGTTAGAAATGCTTCAAAGGAAACACATTTTTTTTCGGTTCTGACTTCTTGGAATTCAATCTCAAGCCGGATCAAGCTGTCCATCTTTTCCTTCGCAAGCTCCAATTGTGAGCTGTGGCGAACGCGTGCACAGTGCGCACATTGAGAGTGCAATTTGGGCTGGCTGCTGTAATTACTAAGCCGCACGGCTGAATAATTTGTGGGAACGCCGAAGAATGGCCCTTCGCTCGCCTGCGCTCGCGCGCTATTATTATCATTATCAATTTAATAAGGCTAGCCTTGAAAAAACAGACAGAGAGAGTTCTTTGTTGGTTTATATAGCATCGAGCTATGGTTTGATGTGCGGCGGGTCGACATCCAGGCGTCAGAATGTGCCGCTCGGCTAATTTGGCCAATAAGGAACAATAGACACGTCCGAAATGAGAGTGAAACAGAGAGACAATGGGCAATGTCAACGAAGGGGGAGGGAGGGAGAAGCAAAATGGCTTGTTAATCGATACACGCAGAAGTTGAAATATTTAAATTTTGGTTCGATATTATTTATTTAAATTTTGAATTACTTATTATTGAAAATATTTATCCCAAAGCCTAAACAGGAATTAAATTTTTTTTTCAAATAAATTTTGCTTATGGGTAAAAATATATAAAAATAATTTATTATGAAACTTAAGAAATCACTTCAATTTAGCAAAGATAGTCCAAAACCTGTTATTATTGAGTTAAAAGTGACATCACCTCTCTCTCCTTGCTCGTCAAAGTGGGTTGTCTGTCTTATATTCTCCTCCGGTCACACCACATCAGAATCCATACAGGTGCCAAATTGAATTCGCTACTTATTTATTTATTTTCACTCTTTCACCTTTGACTGACAGTTACGCAACACCTTTCCCAGCAAGTCGTAAAACGCCCTTATTGTTATGCACCGGACCGTGAACACCCGATGTGACATATCGACGTGTCGTTCCCATTCGTTTGTGATTTGTTTGACTCATCAGAGCTAGAAAACGAAACGCAAATGAGGAGAAGAGAATAAAAATGAGAGTTTTTTGCTTGATTGACGGGTACAAAACATCAAAGAAGTATCAAGTTTTGCGGTTATTTTCCTCTTTCTTGACATTTCGAATAACAAAACATTCTCAAAAGATTCCGCGTCAATAGAATGTATGTCTTCATATTGATCCACGTTTGCTTGCTTCAGTGAAAAATTGACATTTGTCATGAAAGGTGGCCTGTCAAGAACTCCAGGGTGCATTGAAAACCTGATTGCGGACACGGTAGTGTCGAAAATGAGAAATATTATAGCCGTGGTAAAGGGTCTTTCAGAGCGACCGCAAATGCTGACTCTGCAACTGGCAGCTGGCTTTGCCAGAGTTGACATTTGATTTTACTTTTGTAACTGTGTCTTTCCTTTGAAAATATGATTTCAGTTTTAAATTACAACCAGCACTTCAAGTGATTGTTTTCAATTTCACTGTAAGTTTGAAATTATTTAAATAAGTATTTGATTGTAATGAATTAAAAAAAAATATTCAATCTTGCAAATTACAAAATTGAGCAGTAAAGCCTTGAAAAAATTACATTGTTGCAAGGAAGATTTTTTTATTAAGTATTTTATTAAAATTTGATTACATAATTCCGCAATTTAAATAGAAAATCACAGAAAGACCCAAAATATTAAATTTTAGTAATATTTTAAATAAATAAAAATATCAAAAATAAGTTTCTTTTCGAGCATCAGCAACATTTTAAATTTATTATGAAATTCTAGAATTTTCTCTAGTGCAAAGCCACCTTTCTCGCCCTTGAAAAAAATCCTGCGCACATTATTGTCTCCTGGAATCGCACCGCCGAAAATGCGTTCCACTCGGCGATTTGCCTAATTGCAGGATGAGCCCAGCCGCAGAGAGCATTCGTCGTCGGATTGCCTCAAATTACATTCCGACAATAAAAACGATTATTATAATATTCGTCAGAGAAAAACAAAGACTTCGGCTCTTCCTGCGATGCGATACGTAATGAGGGCGTGCTGGGTTTGAGATGTCCTTGGCGGATACAAACACAAGAAGTAGTGATCAATGCTAGGAAAAAGCGAATCAGAAATCGATCCTCTACGGGAGAGACACATTATTATCTCTCGCTCTCGTGATAGTAATCGCGCAAACGACATTAGACCAGCCTGATGTAATTGTATAAAGCTCGTGCTCGGCACCTCCAGGGGAGTGTGCGAGCCACGGGGCCTCCTTTTTAGGTAGGAAGGCGAACGAACGCTC